AAGCTTATGATATATTGTTTCAGTAAATTCATCAGCTTACTTCATAGTTCTCTGGGCGTCTTTCAACAAGTGAAACTTTTGTAAGAATCAGTTGACGAGATACAGCATCACCATTTTCCCCAAGTCCACCTTTTGGGCCAACACTCAAACTCAACCCTGGAACATTTAAAGTTCCACGAGCAGCAGAGCGCAACCTTGTCACAGACCAACCTCCACATGGAGTTTCTTCTGCTCCAACTGCCTCTTTTGCTGCATTACCAGATAAATTGATAAGAACGGCTAAATAGACAACATTATTGGAACACAGAAAGAACAAGAAAAGAAGATAACTACTACAAACAGCCCTCTAAAAATGGGTTAGAATGTGCTACCCCTTCGTTTTATATACTCTGGTATAGTGAGAGATTGAGAAGTGTCCACAGTTAGTGACACCCCGACCATGGATTTTGCTGTTTTGGTCTGCATAAAATACATTATAATAAGTACTGATTCAAAAGAATCCCTGAGAACAGAATGGTTTTTCAATGGAGGCACTTCATACATTAAATTTGAACTTACAGAAAATGAGCATTTACATAAAGTTCTAAAGAAAATGTTGAACAATGAACAGTTCAAGGTTAGTCATACCAAACTTGCAATGATGGCTGAACTTGTGGTTCCAGAAGCAGCTTGAAAGGCTTTAGATTTTCTTCCATACAAAGGACAAAGAACAAAACTTCCATGTTCACCGCCTTTCTTCCCATAAGCATCAGTAAGGGAAACAATAGCGGGCGAGTCAAAATCTCTGAAATCCAAGCACCAGCGAAGGTCTCCACTTTTTAAATCAATAAGTTCAACCCCAACATAAGTAATTTTTAATTTCTGCACAAGCCATCAATTGTTACATAAAATCAGTCTAATCCTTATAAAGAGCAAACCGAACATGCCAGTCACCATTACTGACCGCTCAAATGTACATTATCAACATTCAAATAAACATCAGTTTAGTAAAAATTATTAATGACTTACATATACTTGCGAGCAACTTACATGGGTCTAAAATCTTTAAAAAGCATCAGACATAAATAAGACAGCAGTGTTCAAGTATCCTTTTTAGTAATAGAAGCAGTAACACCATGATAAGTAAACCCATTTCTGATTATTCTCCCGAGTTCCGTAAATTCTATGCTAAAACTATTAGTAAAGAATCATACTATTAGTCTCCCCAATGCTGTAAATTATATGCTAAAACTATATGGTACAGAAGCATCCTTTGCACTAAAGCTCCACTCTTCCAAGGCAAATTTGTTCATGGCTTTGAAGTAATCATACTCCTAAGTATTAGCCATTGAATCTTCTACTAACAAAGTTATCGACTGCCTACGGAGTCTTCTACTATCAAATTAGCACAGTAAAACGACATTGCACAAACACTAACAAGCATCAGAAGATGAGTAACTTACAAGTGGGACCCACTCGGCATTCCGGCGCCGGAGATGAAGCACCGGAAACTCGCGACGGCGCCCAACCGATTCCCCCTAATTCTGTGCAACTCGGTCAGTATACTCGCTCTGTACCTCGACGAGAACTTAATGCCCTTGAATTTGCCCTTCCCGTCAGTCCGAACACTCAAATTGAACTCATTGGAGTGCTCGTCGCGGCTGACGACTGGCGCGGCAGAGTCGAAATCGGTGGCGACGTCGTAGGAATTGGTGACGGAGAGCGTCCCGGGATCCAAGGTTGTTATGGCAACATTCGAAAGGCAGAGAATTCGCTTGTAGCGGCCCCGCCACGAGTGCTTGATGACCAAGTAGCGGGCGAGGTACTCCGGCTCCTCGACGACAGCAGGGGCAGGACGGGAAGAAGAATTGGAGGAGTTAATCTTGGGGCTGTCCATCGGCGCGGGTGCAGGTGGGGGCGGAGGAGAGGGGTTTTGATCGGGTGCGTGGCGGCTCACGGATTCTACGTTCGGGAGGAAGTGGAGGGTGTGAGTGCGGGGTGCATTGTGGTGGCGAAGAAAGAACCAGAGTCCCGAACCGGGTCGACCCGGTGGAGGCGCAGAGGCCGCGGCCTGAGACCGAGACTGATTCGCCCCCAGCTCTGACGGTTATTTACGCGTTCTGCCACAGCGTCCAGTTTTTTTCTCCGTTTTCCGATCGATCAAACCCTACCGGATTGAATCATCGGAGATCTTAAGGGCGCGTTTGGATCGGAGAATTGGAAAAATGAATTAATTGGAAGGAAGAAGAAAGAGAGGAATGACAGCTGGGAAGGAGGAGAAGAAGAAGAGCTGTGCTTCGCTGTGTACAATACTGTCATAAAATACCGACATCACCCGACGGTGACCTATCTTAAAACTTGAATGGCCAGAAACGATGCCGTATTGGCCCCTCAAAAGTCTTGAAGGTCCACTACTTTTTTAATATTTCTTAGTCTCGAAGTTATATGAAACTCTGACGGTCACGATGTAATTGAAGAATTTTTTATTTTTAATTCAGGGATTTAATTTTAATTTTAATTTTTACTTAAGTTATGAAGAATTGTAAGAGAAGAAATATATAGTTTTACAAAGTTTAGTTAATTCAAGTGTTATGTGGTGTTACATGTGTATTGGTTAAGAAAATATTAGTTTTTACGCATGCATATTATGATTTACAAATTAATAACACCGCGTAACGATGTGACAGTTACATTAAATATTTGTCATTCCCAATAACATATCATGAATTAATAACATGACACATGATTTGGGGCTTGCAAAAGATTATTTCGATGTAGCCCCAAATTACAAGTCATGTGATGTGGGCCTACTTTTCGTATGTCCCAAATTATTTTGTTCCTGCGCGTATTTTAGCCCTTTGAGATGGAAGTCGTGAAACCCTAATTTCCCAAATGGGAAAGTGAAACTTGACACTCACTCCACTGTTATAATTCAAAAAGCATGTGTCTAACATGTAAAAATTGAAGGGAGTTTTAACAAAACATTTCTGGTGCTGTTTACTTTTAACACAAAACCATATTTTTACCTGATATCATTCACTACACATTTATTTGTCTTTTTTCTTAAAACTAAAGATTTTTTAGATTTTTCAGTTAGTTTTTCTAAAATTGAAACCTCATGGCTCATTTTACCCTCAAATCTTGCGGTGTAAAATGCATTAACCCAAAAAGTAACGATGTATTTCCGAAAATTAAGTGGTGAATGTAGAATCACATATATTTAGTTGGATGGTAGGTAAATCCAAGGGACAAATAATGCCTAAGGGTTTGATCAATTTCGTTTAGCTAATTAACACTTCGGTCACCCGGACTCTCTGTGAGGGACAAAAGCTGTGTGAAGCTTTTTGTGGCAGATTCCGGCAAGCAAATGCACACAAGCATTGTCCCGTTCTGCTCAGCCTCGGCTTCCGGCAAGAAAACGCAAACTTGTGGCGTCGGAGTGAGGTCTATAGGACCGGCGTATATTGGCCTTCCCCATCCAAAATCAGCAGAGTCATAGATTGAAAACCGTGTCCATTGAGTTATTGTCAATTTGCCTCCAAATTCCAGCCTCCTTGGCCTGTCCACTTCGACATAATCCACTGTCGATCTCAGGTACTCTTCGGAGATGCCAAGCCGGGCGTCGCGAACCAAATGTGCTGTGTCCGAAAGCCTTCCATACACAAGGTTTCTCACAGTGCTTGTGACACAAGCAAGGCACACCACATTTCCATAATACCCTTCTTTTACCGGCAGGTTCTTAAGCTTCTGCCTCGCGTTGGCGGAGAATGTTAGCCTAAGCTCGTAGTTTAACGGCTTCACATCGAGTGCTTTCACCCATGATCTCCATATGTGAGCAGCCATAGCATCAAAAGTGCTGCAGGTGCTCGACATGTCATCACTTGGTTGCGCCGAAGTTTTCAGCCAGGTTTGAAATTCACGGCTTACTCTATAGCACTTTTGAACAGCTTTGGTTTGCCAGAGACTCATTGTGAGACTTGATCCGTCATCAATTCTCATGTACTCAACGTGTGGGAATTTAACCAGCGGTGGATCACGAGGACGGAATTTTCCCGGTCCCAACACGGCGTAGGGTTTGAGATCAATGTGCCGGCTTTCGCGGTGGCAGCCCAGGAGCTGAGAAATTGCATAGCACCAATCCCGTCGACAATACAGTGGCAGATTCTCAAGCCAAGGCTAAACCCGCCGCAGCGGAAAAGAGTCACCTGAGCTATCAGCAATGGCATGTCAAGCACTTTGTATGGCTCTTCGTTGGGAAACCTAAAGACCAGTGGCGTCCATGCCGGGTTTGGCACTTTGAGGTCTCCCAGTTCGGCCAAGGACATTTCGCAGTGCGCCTCCACCATGAGAGCTCCTTGGTCTTGCCCGAAAAACACTTCTAGCTTTCCATTTCCAGTCTCTCTCAGCCTACCCGACAAAGGGTAGTACGGAACCAAAACACTAGCAAGAGCATCCTGCAGTGCTTTCATAACCAGTTTTTGGTCATCGGAGGCATAGAAATACACGGTGGGTGTGAAAACACGAGATCCAATCACATCATCGAGGTTCGAAAGGTAAAGGGTTTTCCCGGGAGCCGCGGGAGTAGGCCCCGAGGGCATGACAGGAACCATATGATCGATGGTGATGGGGATGTGGAGGTCGGAGAAATGGAGCTCTTGAACCCACGGAGGAGCCATGAGAGGTGACGCAGGAATCTGAGGCCATCGATGCCGAAAAGCTGCATTTGTAGGAAGATCACTAGTCTCTTTGACATGCAAAGATGCTTGAGCTAAATAGATGAAGAATTTAAAGTTCTTGGTGTAGAACAGTTGGTGCTGATATTATACATGATCAAAAAAATATTATATCTTGACCGAATTAACAATTCTGTATCTTTGTGTGATGTTCTCGGATATAATTTCAGCAGATGAAGAAAAACGTATGCTCTAAATTGACATAAAATTATAATGTGTTATGTGACGTGCCAAAATGCTGTCCCGAGGAACCGTGCTTCGAGTTACGGTGAATAAAACTGATCAGTGTAGAGCTAAGCCTCAAATTTATCATTCATTCTCAAGGTACATTTATAGTTTAAACAAATACAGATACGTAGTTGTGCCTCCACTACGTCTATACGACTATGATTGTCTCTGTCGTACCTGGATAAAGACACTTACAAGTTCACCGAAATTTCACCGGATGAGAATCTGAACGATTTGCTTGTTTGATTTTTACTCTTTCCCCCCTTCCGTGGAAAGTTCTATCTATTCTAAAAAGTACCATTTTCAGCAGTAACTCGCAACTGGTAGGCTTCCAGCAGCAAACACTGCTCTCATATTAGAAGCATATAACTCTATTCTTGTGGAAGGAGCGCTATCTCGATTTCTTGGAGCGATTTTCCTTTTGTTTCGATCACATTTCGCTTCACGAAAACCACAGCCATCATGCAAAAGGTGCCAAATATAGAGTACAGAAGCTGCGGACCAAGTTGTTCAAGCAGTTGCAAGAATAGCAATCCCACAAAGAAATTTATCACCTGAAAAATACCCAGTCGCATATAAATGAAACCGTAAGTAAACTGAACTACATTGATTGATTCAGAATCTGCATAGACGAAGAAGCTAAATCACAAAATTATTAGAGTGCTGAAGCTACACAATAATTAGAAACGTAGCCTAAAAAAAGATGACATGGAATTCAGGAGGAGAAAGAGAGTTACCCAATGCACTGACATACAGAAGGCCATTGCTTTAGCCCTAATACGGCTGGGGAATATTTCTGGTAAAAGGAGACCTGGAACTGGACCAGCTCCTAGAGCAAATGTTAGGACGAACCTGCACAAATTTTGCGGTAGATGATTGGATAAAAAAAAGTTTGATTATTTTATGTCATTGTGTAACGTGATTATTCACCAAGGTGCCAACCGGTGGCTATAATTTTCTAAAGGCCATTCATCAGCATCATAAAATCTCACGAGAATTTCAAGCATAGCAACAATCATATTGTTGTCACATTTGCAGAGGCTATGGACACATAACCTCAGCATGTACAATACATAAGAAGAATATCGTTGGAAAAATTTAAATGCAGATAAATTCGTTTAATGCGGCTAAAGTCTTCAAGATGTAAAATTCAAAATTATTACTCACATAAGCATTCCACCAACAGATAGGTACAGTGATCCAGATGCTGATGAATTAAAGCTTGCTGCAGCAACTTGAAGAACCATTGACATTGCCTGAGAGGATAAAATGCATCCCATAATTGCAAAGCTAGCAAGATATTGAATTCCATGAACCAAAAAAATGACACACAACTTCAAATTACCATGCCAAAGAAGCTCCATAAGAGTAGCAGCTTCCTCCCTACTTTATCCATCAAAAGCATTGCAACCAAGGATCCTGGAAATTATAAAAATCCATCCAGTCAAGAGACAGAATGCAATAGTTGTGGGTAGGTGAACACACAACCATGAATCTAAGGTATACCTGACAAATTTGCGATTCCTACAAAGGCATTTGCAAGGCCTGATGGTACTCCGGCACTTTTAAATACAGCGGAGGAGAAATAAAAGACAGCATTTATACCAGATAACTGTTGTAAAGCAAATAAGGTTGACCCAATAAAAACCACTGCAAAACGAACATGTGAATAACCAAGCACTTTTAGAAAGCCGAAAGATCACAAATAAGAGGAAAGAAATACACCACAGGTGGATGGCGAGGGAGAGAGGAGAGCCAAAATATTTACCTCTAAAATGGCGGCCATAGAACAACTCTGAAAGGTTTACAGTATCTGTCTCATCTCCCCTGTCCAACTTGGCTAAATCTGCCATGGCAGTTTTGACATGTGATCCACCAAGGAGTTTCTCAAATTGAGCTTCTGCCTCAGAAGTTCTTCCTTGCTATATCACATGAAACCGAGACTATTAACATTTGTTTTGAGAGGTGTGCTCAATTGTTCTATTCAACCAAAGACAAGTGAGATGCAAGCATACCTTATGTAGCCAATGTGGACTCTCAGCACAGAATAACATGGCAAGAGCCAGTATTACCGCTGGGATTAGAGATACCCAAAAACAAACACGCCACCTGACACATAAACAAAGATTATAAGTTTGAAAGGTTAAATGTGAACCAATGCTATTTTGAAGCCTGTCATGTTTCTTACCAGCCAGCAATTTCTTTAACAGGGATTCCCACAAAAAGAGCCCCCATAATCCCCAGGCATGTTGCAATCTGGATGAAACTGCCATAGGTACCCCTCACAAACGCAGGAGAAACCTGCTCAAGTAAACAAAGAAACATCAGATAAGACAAGAAGTACATTATGTATTCACAAATTACAGAAAGGTTTACACCAGTACCTCTGTCACATAAAGAGAGGCAACAGGAGGGCCCAGACCCATACCAGTCCCAACAAATAACCTTCCTATAAGCATACCAGCAAGAGTTTTGGTTGATGCACTGCAAAAGCAGGTAGTAGTTTTAGCCAGAAGTACTTCAAGATGTATTACGAGAGGGCCCTTGAAGACAGGAGTATATGAGTATTGCGGACTACTTTTACTTGTATTTAAATATAAATGTGCGCAGTTACATCGGATACTGACAGATCATATATCTACATTACAAAAACCAGACTGATCCGCACTGATTTTGTGATAAAGAAACATCACATAAAAGGAAAATGGTAAAGCCCTATAATATTACAGTACCATGAGGATAAAAAAGATCTACAACAAAGGTACATAAAAAGGGGCTCTGTCATAATGTTATATCACAAATTCACAACTCAAAAAATTCCAGGAACCTAACTACTACAACAGAAAGAGTAATTACAAAATATGATAATATAAGGAGAAAAAAAACGATCTCGCAAAATATAGATCCATGTAGTTCTCAATCAAAATGATGATATTGGGACAGTTGCTTTTAAAAGTAAATATATCACCTCATAGCAGCACCAATTATCATGGGCAATGCACACAGTTGAAAAGCCCTACGACGTCCTACTCCATCGGCTAACCATCCACTGAATAAAGATCCAATAAAGGCACCTCCCAAACAGGTACTCACCACCAAACCTTCATTTGAAATTATTAAAACCCATTAGAACAGATAGCTGAAAGCAAAAATCATAAATTAGTTTACAAGTTATAGCAAACAAACAAAGAAAAGATCTACTTCAAGTCACCTTCTGCCAAGGTATTTCCCTTGAAACCAAGATCTTTAGATATGCTTTCAAGAGGTTCATTAACTACCCTGCACAAAGCAAGAGTAGAAAAAGAAAAGGAAGGTATATTACTCTCTTATGCCTGAACATAAAACAAACTATGCAAAAGAGAGGGGAAGCAGACTGTAAGCACCAACCCGAGATGGTAGCCAAACAAGAATGAAGATAGAGTTGCCACAAGTACATGGGGAAAAGACCGCTTCCATGAGGGGTTTGAAAGTTCTGGAACTGTACTTTTCTGTAAAAGAGCTAAAACAGATACAAGAATTAAACCCTTAATTGAATTATACACATACAATAAGTATATGTTTAATGCCAAAATGAGAAGACCTTAGAATCAATGAACTCCTCACTAACATTTCCAAGAAAAGCGTGGTCTTTACAAATATCTCTGCCATTGTCCTTTTAAAATTTGCTACTTTTGTGGTAAATTCATCACGAAAGTACAAAATGAACACCAGAGCATCACAATTGATAGTACCCAGCATACATATAAACTACAGATGCTCAATAAATTGAGTTACCTGAATTTTCTTCCACGTCAAGAGGATCCGTCAACTCTTTTGTATCCATGTCAATGGTATTTGAATGGTCTCTCGATGACAACCGATTGTATATCGAGAAAGCTTCGCATTGGTGGCCCCGCATGCCAAGCTGCAACCAGCCTTCCCTACAAATTAGAACAATTTGGAATCATACTTTCGAAATATCCGTCACTTCGACTACAAAACAAGCACTAGCTTAACCGATTGTAAAGGAAACGCTCAAAACATAATATTTATATAATTTTCCTTTCCTCATTTTCTCGGGAACCAAACAGATAACAATATCAAATAATTCCGAAATGAAAACAAAAAATTCACAAAAACAGAGCCTCCGCCAAACCTTCCACAGCAAAACCGAATCAAGAATCAAACTTTGAACCAAAATCTAAATTCAAGTAAGAAAACACGGAAATCAAGAATTAAAAAATCACAATTAAGCAAAAAATAAATGGAACCAAAACGAGAGCTGCAAGTTGCGATTCAGAAAACACTCAAAACTTCACAGAAATCCATCGAGCTGGAATACCTTATCTACGCTACGATCGCCCAACGGATCTGAGATTCAAGCAGCAAATCAGAGACGTGTGGGAACGGGTTTCGGCGAGGTTTGGCAGCCTCTCACTCTCGAAGTCCTTTCCTTTACAGCTCTGAGGTAAGAACGTTCGAGAAGGAAGCTTTGGAGCAGCTTCGTTTACGCGCGAGTGAGAAACTGGCGGGTACTGCGGCTGTGGTGGGCCGGGTACGGTGGTTTCTGGTGTGATAAATGCCGAGTGAGGAAGGGAAGGAAGGTGCTGGAACTTAATACGGAGAAATCTACGGGAGCAACCTCTTGTTGTGCTTTTCGAGCGGAATACAAGAGAAACAGACAAAAAGATACAGCTGAAACATAATTTAAAAAAAAAACATAAATTTTCTCGTACTGCCACGTCATTTTGCTCCATTTATTTAGTTTTTATTTTCCTTTATGACGTCAAAAATAAAATCCTGAGTTTAATTTTTGACACGTGATTGGAGACTTGGAGTTGCTGGTGGTCGGTCTCTGTTACGTCAAAGTTGACTGGTCCGAGGAGAAAGCTGGAAAATTCGCCGGAAACTGGGCAAGCTTTAAACGTTCATAACTTCTTCAATACTCAACGAAATCAAGTGATTCAAAAACAAAAAATTATACTTTTCGACGAGACGAACAGAATGGTACCTTTTTAAGCGGCTAACTCGCCGTTGTTTGGCCGGAAAACGGCTCGAAAATAGCTGTCTTGGTCTCGAGTTAGCGGCAAGTTTTCCAGTTTTCCCTCGGACCAGTCAACTTTGAGGCTATTTTCAAACCATCTCTGGCAAACATTGGGCTTCCAAATAGGTATAATCTTATTCTACACTTTTCTATCTTCATTTTGATGTATTATGGGTCGAATTTGGCTAAGAAACGATTGAGTTACGAAGCTTTGAAAATTGCTCAAACCTCTTGCCAAGAGCTCCGGGATACTTAACGGAATGACCAAAATGATGGATGGTGGACAATCTTAGGGACCACTTCTATCGATTTGAAATCTCAGGGACCAAAGTGAGGAGTTATGCATATCTCAAGATTATTTTGACTAAAAAGCCTTTTGTTGTATTGACTATGGTTGTGGTTTTTGTCTGCTTTTTTGTGGGATCGGTGATTATAGTGTCCGGTTCATATCAAATATTTATGTAGACATGCCAATCAAAACAGGAAGTTTGAGAGGGTCTTAAGAATTTCTGGGCACAGGATATGGTGCAAGCTTTGCGCGGAACATATTCCCACTAACCGTATCATTTTGGTTATTTTGAATTGCAAGTTTGCAACCAACTGTGAGGATGCTTTACTTGAGATGCTGCTGGAAGATGGAAAGTTTGGTTACAATTGCCAGATGGTGGGAAATTCAGTTTGTTCAAGTGGTATTGAATTTACCATGTTAGGAAAATTACGGACGATGTTATTTGCCCGGTAACATTGAGCTTTTCTTGGTTTCACTGGTTTAACTTGTGCTTGGGAATTGTATTTGATAAGTGGTTTGTTTGTGGTTTCATTTTCAATTTTCCTTGTTTTTGGGGGGGTCAGGTACCTGTACAGTGTCAGTTGTATAGTTATATAGTAACTAATTCTCAGCATTGCTGAATTGGGTGTAGATTGCAAGGACCTTCGGGAACTTCTTTTAGTATGTCAGTTTCTGGGTTCTGTATTTTTGTAAGACTTTGCGGAGTTGTATTTGATGGAAGGTGAACCGGTAAATTATTGTCATCGACCAGTGATATTAGGCATATAACAAAAAAGATATACAATAAGTGACTATAATTGATTAAATACATAAAATAAAATATGTATTTAAAGTTGTTTTACGACGAAGTAAGACTAAAATTATTTTTCAAGAAAACTTTCACACCATTAACTTAAAGAAAATGAAAAATAAAAAAATTTGATAGCCAAGACCGCGGCCGCCTAATTACTACCTAGATGCTTCACTGATTTTCTAAAAAAGTCGATCTATACGGTTAAAATTCAAGCACGACACCGTTTTATGTAATGGGTTGGGTTTTCTACGTTTAATGAAACAGATCGTTTCATAGTTTCTTTGGTTTGCTAATAAATTAAAAACAAATACTAACTAAATATTGTAGTACCAAATAAAGTGTATTAGGGAAAAATAAATCAAATAAAACTGATCAAGTCCAATTCAGGGGGACAAAAAAAAAAAATCACGAAGACAAGTTTATGAATATTAAGAGAAGTTCACCTCGTAATAGAATGAGAGTTTAATATTTGTGTAATAGGTGTTCGACAAAATTGAGACTACACACCATTTGGTAGTGTCTTTGTGTGCATTGTTGTCGGTATCTAAGGACCAACTTTCTAGCTTATGTCGATATCTATTGATAGACTCAATCAGAAGTTGTCATCATCTTCCATGCAATATGGCTCAGAAGAGACTATAGCACACTAATTATTCAACAAAATACCACACTAAAAATGTATGTGTTGTTTTCGTCCAACAAATTTGCGGGTGAGCTATTTCCTCACTGACTCTCTCCCATTTTTTTCTGGATTCGCCACTGGAAGGGGCTAGCTAGAGGGGGGGTAGCCTTCATCTAGTGCCTAGCAACTTTCTTGGAGGAGTGATTTTTTATTTTCGATTAGAGTAGAGAACGATTATTTTGAAAAAAATTAGTGGTATCTTAAATTTTGAACTGTAAAATACGTCATCTTGGCGTTCAAAACAAAAAAAAAAAAAAAAAAAAGATTCAAGATGGAAGCTGCGCACCGGTACTTTGGTAACAGAGACGGACCAAGTACGCCATCTTGAATCTTTTGCGAAACTGAGTTTTCTTATTCAATGTAGTTTGGATTTTTAAATGCTTGTAATTGAATTGAATGTAGACCTGACTAGCTGGTTGTGGTTGTGTTTATTTTATTTGTGTTGTTGTCGTATTATATTTATTATTTTAATTGACTATATTATGTCAAATTTGGTATTTTAATGGATGACCGATAAAGATCAAATCAGTTAACAGGTTGACTCATAACCTGATAATTTTTTATCGTTCCGCATCAGATTAACGAATCGTACACGAAATTGATAGGCCTAATTAAATGTAATTCCTCTACTGCTGCTAGGTATTTCACTGTGGGGTCGGAAAATGTCGTACTAATAACATAAAATCACCTTTTTTTTATTACTTTTTATTATTTTTATACAATAAGTAGGAAAATTTAGCGTAAATATTATATTTGAAGCTTCTTCAAATATTTATGATCATAAATATTTAGGAGTTATCAAATTAGACTTATATCAAGTTTACTCCATTTTAATCCCATCTTCTAATATCCTAACAAGGCAACGTTCCTTCATTCTTAATTTTATCACTCACTACTTCCATAGTTACCAAATCCCATGGACCCAACAAATCTCCATTCAAACAGACCCAAAATGTTTGATCGATTTAAAAAAATGATAACAAACGTATAACAAGTCATGAGGTGCCAAAAAAATGTAGGTTTACGCGGACCGGTGTCATGAGGTGCCAAGAATGATCGAGTGCTTAATTCTTTGAAAAAAAACACACACATATTATGTTGCTAAATTACGAATCTTTTGCATATTTAGTATTTGACATCCAAAAAGTGAAATGGCAGTTTAAAAAAGATAGGGCATATATGCAACCGTTGAGTATATGTATAGGCCGACCAGTGTCATGCATTCATGGCAAACAACTCCAAGGCCATTCTCTTCCTAAATAGTTCCATGTCTGCTTGCCTGAAATTCAGTGGTTTTCCCAAACTCAAGTGCTCAAGAAACTTGAGCATGAACACCCCGCAGTCCCCGCTGCTAAGGAATATTCATTGAAATTATTTATAAGTTAACAATTTGGATGACAAACAAAATTCATTATATATTATGTACCAAATTACTATGAAAAGCTCACCTGGCAGACTGTCGTGGGATGTCGCCTTCTGGATGTACCACCTTAAATGGTGTACTGAGAGGGTTCAACTCAGGCCTTTGTGCATAGAAGCCCGACTGGACAAGCAACGACGGCAGCATTGTTGCCATGGGCTTCAATATGTCAAAACTGAACTCATCTTCTGGCGTAGATTGAGACCTCGTCGAATCGTATATGGTTAACTTTCTCCGCATTAAGTCCACACATACAGCTATCCAATGCCGATTCTTGATGTTCACCGGGAGGTATAGCTGCATGCCATTATCGCACATTGATTGATCATCTAACTGCTAGTTTCTTAGGTCATGACCTAACATAGAATATGTAATACATCCATATATATGTATATGTATATGTATATGTATATGTATCTGTATAGGTATACTTACAGACTCCACTTCACTCCACGGTCGAGAATGTTTAGGCGACTTTCCAAGTGGATAGTCCAACATGTCTGAATCCCAGTTATAGGAGTCAGGGTTATGCTGGAAAGCGTCCCATCGCCCATTCATCCAACTCTACAAAATATATACCAAAAAGAAAAGAAATAAAGAAAGAAAATCCTGAATGGTTAGCCACAGTACATTAGATATTAACAGAATGGTACGTAAAGCGGTAATATAAGTATATTTCATCATGTTTGGTTTTGTTATCACTAATTCTTACCCAAAACACAGTGTCCATGATGGCGCAAGATGGAGACAAATGTTGGGACTGAAGATATGAATTCTTGCGAGCAAAATGCAGGAAAACATCTACATGCTGTGCATAGACACTTGATTAGAATCTAGAATATATCTCATCATGTTTGGCTTTGTTATTATAACTAAAATACGAGAGAGACCACGTTTGAACCACCTCTCTAATAAGCATGGGACCTATTTGTACTGTGGAGTCTCCTTGTAATAGAGAGAATTTTTAGATGTGGTCTATATATAAAAATTGGAATCCCTAACATGACTGGTTAATTAGCAAGCGCGGGCACACTTACCGAGTCACTCAACCACATGCCCGCCGTCATCAAGTCTATAAACCATTCTTTTGATGCCTCAAAAATTTCCAAGTTCTGCCATCTTCCATGAAAATAATTAAGCGATCATAAGCGATCATATAAACCATTCTTTTGATCGATGCTTAAAAATTTCACAAAGAGACACACACATGCATATATGCATAAATGTCATAAATAAATCGATGAAGGAATTATGAAATAGCTAGCATATACCCCGCGCTTGGGTCATCCAGCCATGCATTAAACTTTCTCAGAGTCAGTTCCCTAGCCTGGACCTCACTGTCAATGCTTCTTGAAACAATTGTTGATTCCGAAATGTTCATGTCGTCCCTCTCCAATTCGCTCATCCCCTTCCAGTCCATCTCGTTCTTTATCTACATTAACACACATATGAACTATACAGTTAGTTCTATGAGATTATTCGAAATTCAAAGTCAAACAAATGGAAGATTTAATTTACTTGTATGTGGTTGATAATTTGGGCCATGTAATTGTCAAGTTTATCTGTTAATTTCTCCCCGAGTGCCTTCACCTCTGCTTGTAAGTCGAACCTAACACTGCTTACATGTGATTGAACTATTTTATTCATCACATCTCTCTTCTGCATCCTGGTGAATAGAAACTAGTCGTGAATATACATGAAGGAAAATCGAACAAGATAATCAAACATAAAAGTTTGCATACCTTACGACTATAAGATTAGTCTGTTTGAGGAACCTATTTTCTTGGGCCATCTCCATTCGTAAGTTTTCAAGATAGGGTAAGTAGGGTTCCCATAACTTTTTCGTTTCTTCATCACAGACCACTCCTTCTAACTGATCAAGATACACAACTGACAGGGGCAACTTATTCACTTTGGAGCACCGCGTCATGTTGAGCTTTCTTAAACTGGACATGTTACCTATGTCTTCAGGCAACTCCGTAATACTGTAGCAGTCAGATATGTCGAGAAAGTTTAACTTGTTGAGGTTCGTAACTGAACCTGGTAACTCCGACAATGTTGAGCAGGAGTTCAACCTCAACACTTCTAAATTTATCAGGTTTCCAACCGTCTTCAGGCATGGTAGATAGCTGATGAAAATTGGTGATGCTGATGTTCTTCAGGGGAACAAAATCATAGAGCTTGGGCGGAAACTTCAGCATATTATTCTCCTGTTCTATCTTTATATTTATCTTTACTAGGGTCATCAGTGTAGCTGATATATGAATGTGACTGCTGCTGGAGCCTTCATGATCGATACGCATACACATCAATAAAAGTTATGCTCAGCAGACAATAAAGCTAGCTAGTGCTTTACTCCAAAAAACAAATCTCAATTATTGACAACGTTCATTTTTTATTGTCCATCAGTTAAAGATTGTCATTTGAAAACATGTGGTCTTCCTAGCAATAGCAAATCTACCTTGAACGGTGGTAAAAGTTAACGCTCAAAAAAGGTATTAAAACATTACCCACTAGAATGGAGAAGTAGAAGAAAGAGAGGTGGATTGAGATCAGCTATACCTAGGATTTTCTCAAGATGAAACCCTTTAACTGTTCGCAATATTGTGTCTCTGAAACTTCCTTCAGGAGCAGTCTGCACAAGCATTGACTTGACATCCGAACCAACAGTTAGTGGAGGTGCACGCCAAGCTTTATTTTCAGCTTGATTTCGTACCACGTCAATGACTAGATTGAGCTGCTTCTCTATCTTCTTTGCCGAAATCCTAGTTTTCTTCCCATCCCTTGCTGCCTGCACGGTTAGTACCTTTAAATGTGTTTTGAGAGACCCGTCCAGTTCAACAAGTTGCTTGGTGCACGTACGGTTTTTGTACCACTTATCAACAGTTGACAACTTGTAAACAAGCTTTACGCCCTCTTCGATTTTGCTATGGAAAGCTGCTATTTCCTTGCACGAGGGATCCAATTCGTCGTTGCAATCTCTCATCTCGTCAACAATTGGTTTTAGAGAATCTAGCGTGGTTTGGAGATCACCGAGGAGGGGCTTATTGCTTTTCCAGAGTTTTTGAACGCCTCTATACAGCTCTGAAAATACTGTCCCAAGAGCAGCCCCAGCAACAAGCTCCCCTACTACAGCCATGCATTACCTTGATTCTTGACAACAAAACCAAACGCCAAAATCTGAAACTCAAAACCAACCTCAGATTTCTAACCAGATCGGAGATAAAGTAAGTAATACAAATATGAAATATGTAAAGCTAAACGAGATGAAAAATATTCTAGCTAGACTGGTTCAACGCACCGTAAAGCAGCAGGTAAAGCAGCAGCAGCAAATCAGCAGGTGTTCCTAGCTAGAAATTAGGCTCTTGGGTTCCATGTGACCTCTTTCTCTTTTGATGTAATCTTGCTTAAATTAAGGAATGCTGTTGTCTTAGTGATTAAGGATATGGTTGCGTATAAACACAAAAATTTCTAATGGTCATTGGCTTACGTCACTTATTAATTCCCATCCTTCGTCACAATTTCTTGAGCTGACTTTTCGTATTTGTTTAGGTCAATTCACCCTTGATTGGAGATTTACAGAATTTTCCAAACTCATCAATTTTCCAAACCGCGTTCAGTGTTATGTATTCTTTCTAGAAATTGTATGGATGGATCGGAGATTCGTAAACCGCGTGCACAATGTTATATGTTCTTCTGGGAAATGCATGATGGTGTCGGGGCCTTTCCTAATCAAACGTGTTAGGTGCGAGACTGCTATTTTTCTTTTTGGGGTCAATACAAATGAACCAATCTCACCATCAATAAGGCTTTGCCTTTTGCCTTTAAGTAATGTTTAAGCATTGTGACTAAAATGCTGGAGGAACTTAAAGAAAGTTGAAGATGTACCATAAAATTAATTGGTGATATAAGGAGTAGCTCAATTTCTTATAAGTACTTGCATGGTTTGGTAACCGATGTAGGATTTTGTCCTCAATTCTCACAAAACTTACATGCATTTTTTTATTTGTTGTTGCTTAGTTACATGAAGTGCTCGACGAAATGCTTAATTGAAATTTTTTGTCGGTGATGTTGTCATAGTGGAAAACAATGGTCATTTTGAATAGCTTTGTTAGAACTTTCGTCCTTTCTTCACCCCTTTTAATTCTCTATTTTGGGTGGAAGTTGTATTGGTGTTGCTCAAAGTACCATTGTTCATGGATCAATATACATGAATTTTTAGTTTAGGATCAAAACTCCAATTGAGCCAAATTGAAGGATCAATGCTTCAATTTGTTTTTTTTTTTTTTTTTAAATTCCTTATATGTCAAAGAATGTGGTCTATTATAGTAATTGTCTATTGGATTTTTTTCTTTGAGGAAAATATTGGGGTAAATTAGTCAATAAACATTAGTTATATTTTAATTGGGTTTGAAATGCAAATGTTGGATTCAACAAAAATATTTCATTAAAATTAGACAAATATTAGCACGTGATCTAATATCATAGCGGATAGAAACAAATATTTTATGAGTTATCTATGTCACATCCCGGCCCGGGGCGGACCACTTCCCGGGCCCGATCCACCACCGTAGCACGATATTGTCCACTTTGGGCCCCGACCACGCCCTCACGGTTTTGTTTTTGGGAACTCACACGAGAACTTCCCGATGGGTCACCCATCCTGGGAATGCTCTCGCGCGCTACTCGCTTAACTTTGGAGTTCCAAAGGAACCCGAAGCCAGTGAGCTCCCAAAAGGCCTCGTGCTAGGTAAGGATGAGAATATACATTTAAGGACCCCTGGGCGATATGGTATGTCACAATCCACCCCCCTTAGGGGCCCGACGTCCTCATCGGCACACCACGACCAAGGTTAGACTCTGATACCAAATTGACACACCCCGACCGAGGTCAGGGAGTGCTGGCCGTCACCTTCACATGACGGCCAGCACTCCCTGACCTCGGTCGGGGTGTGTCAATCTACGTACATTTTATTATTATTATTTTTTTTTATTAACCAAAATTTTCCATTTAGAATTTTTTATTGAGAAATATATTTTGTGAAATTTAGAAATATATTTTCTTTCTCAAATTCGTCTTCATTATGATTTTCTCTGTGCAAGTTTTCGTTATGCCTTTTTATTATGGCAAACAAAATATATTGTGGGAATTTTAGTAAAAGAAAAATTTTCCATTTGGAACTTTTTTTATTGAGAAATATCTAAAATATATTGTGTGAAATTTGGAAATATGTTTTCTTTCTCATATTCATTTTTATTCTGTGCAAGTTTTCGTTATGCCTTTTATAATGATAAACAAAAACGTTAGTGAGCTAAATTGACAGGAAAAATTGAAATAGGCAGAGATCGTACACGCATCAGAGTGCATAAATTACTTTGCTCCATTGAGATATAGCACATTTGTAATTTTCATTATTCCTTTATTTAAAATAGAGAAACTAGTAGTAATGATCCCTTAACTTTAACTCAATTTGAGCAATAGTTCCTTCATGACTATTGGACCCTTAACTCATCAAAATGTACAAATTTGATCATTTTCGTCAATTTGGTTAGAATTCAAAATGACATGTTGGACGGAACATTGCTATGATTGAGTTAAAGTTGAAGAACTATTACTCCAATTATGTTAAACTTAAGGAACTATTAGAGTTGTAGGATCATTGTTACAATTTTTCTCATTTAATTTTTCATAATTGCCCATGATTTAGCCTTACATGCATGACACGTAACTCATTTTGACGAAAGTTCTGATGGAGTTGACGAAAAGTATCATAGCTGCACGTTTTGATGAGTTAAAGGACCAATGGTCATATGTTTTTATTTAAGGGACCATTACTCCAATTAGATGTTTTTATTTAAAGGACCATTACTCTAATTGGATTTAAGTTCAGAAATCATGACTACAATTTTCTTTTTAAAAATAGGTTTTTTCATAAAGGGACAACACAGAGGCTGTAAAATCAGGAAAATGTGTCGCCCTATTTCGTAATTTCGAGAAAAAGCTCTCACACCCAATTTTAGGGCGCATTACGCTCGCATCTTTTATCTTGCGATTCATCGCTGTCGAACAGCGAACCGCACAGAACGATGGGGTCAAGGGACAAAGACCATACAACACCGCATCATCAGCCTCTTCTCAGCAGCCTCGTCGTGCGGCCCTCCACCAGCGACGGCGCCGGCGGTGGAGGCGGTGGCCGTGGCAGCGATTACGAGCCCGGCGAGGTTCGCCGCGAGCCTCCTCCCTACACTCGTTCGGATCGTTACTCCGATGACCCTGGTTCGTCTCTCTAATTCTCTGCTTTTTATTTTTATGGATTTTATTCATTGTTTGACGGTGTCTCGGTGATTTATGCTCAAATCTTAATTTGATTTTGTATTTTGTAAAATTATAATTTGATTAGTATTTAGCATTTTGTCTTATAGATCAATAATCATGATTACTTATTTGCTTCATTATTTTCTTGAGTTTCTGTAGGCCTTTTGATGCAGAATAATTTATCTAAATGTATGATGTAGGATTTTATGATATGTTGTGTGTTTGATGTGAAACTTGTAGAACAAGGAGGTTAATATGTTGGAATTAATTTTTGGGCTTCTGTGAGCATAAATTTGAACGATATATATTTCGTGTCAAAACTTCTTAGTTTATCAACAATTGATTTTAAAGTTTAGTTTCTGCTTGGTCGTGTTTACGGTTATCATAAGTAGCTACGGTGATCTTATAAGTAGTGTCCTATGAATTTGTGGCAGCAAAATATGGGTTTCTTGAACCTATTGATTGTTTACACTGTGTGTCGAACTTGTGGATCTATGACCAATTATCGAGTGTCGAACTGTGAATAAATGAATTCTGCTATTGTGTCTTACAGCTCTGAATGTGCCTGCAAGAACATGAATCTTGAGGAAGGTATGTTGGTGTGAGTGCAGTCTTGGATCATGGTCTTGGGCAATGGTCTGGGGAAAATTGTTTTTTCATATTGTGGGTATTGATGGGAAATGTATATGATGCGTGAACTCGTGGGTTGCTGCATCAATGAATATGGGTTTCTGGGCCTCATTTTGTTGTATTGACTATGGTTATGGTTTTTGTCTGCTTTTTTATGGGATTGGTGATTATAGTATCCGGTTCATATCAAATATTTATGTAGACATGCCAATCAAAACTGGAAGTTTGAGAGGGTCTTAAGAATTTCTGGGCACAGGACACGGTGCAAGCTTTGCGCGGAACTTATTCCCATTAACAGTATCATTTTGGTTATTTTGAATTGCAAGTTTGCAACGAACAGTAAGGATGCTTTACTTGAGATGCTGCTGGAAGTTGGAGAATTTGGTTACAATTACCAGATGGTGGGAAATTCAGTTTGGTCAAGTGGTATTGAATTTACCATGTTAGGAAAATTAAGGACGATGTTATTTGCCGGGTAACACTGAGCTTTTCTAGTTTTCTTGGTTTCACTGGTTTAACTTATGCTTGGGAATTGTACTTGATAAGTGGTTTGTTTGTGGTTTCATTTTCAATTTTCCTTGTTTTTTGGGGGGTCAGATACCTGTATAGTGTCAGTTTGATAGTTATATAGTAAATAATTCTCAGCATTGCTGAATTGGGTGTAGAGTGCAAGGACCTTTGGGAACTTCTTTTATTATGACAGTTCTAGGTTCTGTATTTTTGTAAGACTTTGCTGAGTTATATTCGATGAAAGATGAACTGGTAAATTGAGGCAACAAATTAATGGAATTACTTATTTGGGTCGGACATGCCTCAGTTGTTTCATCCCACTATAATGTTCAGAATGGTTATGCAGCGGTTAGTGAACTCGGATGTTTTGATTTCTCTTCAAAGATGTGAAGATGGTTTCTGAAGAAATGAACATATTGGGAGTGGGTAAATTGTAGAGTTATTTCAAGGCTTGAAGTTCTGTGTGGGTTTTTTTTGGGCAGTTCATTTCCTGTGGGCGTGCACTTTGGTTTCACTGCTCCTTCTTGCAGGCATGCTTCAACTGTTCTGGGATTATTGTTCTCTGTGCTGGATTAGTATCAAATATTAGTTAGGTGTATCTGCATCTTCTTTATCTGTTGGTTGCAGATATGGTTGAAATTTTCGTCCTTATCACTGAGAAAGTCTTACATGGTTATGGTTGCACCAGATTTATGATTATTGGGTTTTCCGGATATGTAGGTTAAAAGCTTGTAATGGTTCATGTGGTAGATGGATGTGAATTTAGAAAATATAAAACCGCTCTAAAATTTATTGTTCTTAGGGTGAGCAGTTGCACTATGTGTTGAGGACTCTGAGGTTGAGTAATCATGGTTTGACATGCTCATTGCCGTATTTACTGGTATTATTCGCCGGTTGTTTGAGAAGTAACCAGGGCAGTTATCATCTGAACTTCTTATTATCTTCCACTTTTTATATCATGTTTCTCTCCCGAGTTATGGTAACAGTCCTTACAAACTTTGAAATGATGGTATTGAAGTTTCTGGGTCACAACTGCCAATTCCTCAACTACTTACATTATACTCCCATTGTGTTTCTGTGCAATTGGTAGTTACTTATCTTTACAATTCACTACCCTTTCCAGGATATAGAGTGCGTGCAGGTTCTGCTTCACCTGTACACCGCAGGGATGCAGATCATCGCTACAGCTCTGAGTATAATCAATCAGGGGGCCCCCTACGTGGGCGTGATTTTGGCAGTGCACGGGATTCTGGTAGATATCGAGACCGCTCACCTCATTATGCTCGAGGAAGGGGTGCTGGCAGGCCATTTGGTAGAGGTTTAGATGGACCGGGGCTTGGTCCTGGGCCATTCAGAGGTGAAGGGAGTAGAAATAATCCAAATGTGCGCCAAAGGCTCGGAGACTGGATTTGCCCAGATCCTTTGTAGGTTCATTTTCTCCCTTTCTTTTTTCTTTGGGTTTTTCATTTACGTTCCCTTATTTTTTGAGGTTTTCCTTGTTGGAACTTGTCACTAATGTGATTGCTAGAGGGTTCTGCTTCCTTGATTTTGTTTTAAGGCAAGATTTTGGAACTAGGGCACAGCTATACAAAGAGGCACACACATGAATTTATACTTTACAAAATCTTGTAAAGTTTTGAGAATTTTGTATTTATTTAAATCTATTTAGTTCAAAGTGGAGCTTATCCAAGTTGAATGTTGGTTTCTTGCATTATAGTTAGTATTCTAGGAACCAATCACAATGATCAAATTATGAATTTTAATAGGTAAAAGCTTCAGAATCTTGTTAACCATTTTAAGTGAAAGAGGTTCCTGCTGTAGCAGTTCTGTTTCTGATTGCAGGATTGGTTGGAACAATTTGCCTTTGTTTTACTTTCGTTTTTGACGAGTTAAGTGCTTGTAAATATGCATTCATCTTGTCCCAATCCTTATATTGTTTATGTGTCTCAGATGTGGCAACCTGAACTTTGCAAGGCGAGAATACTGTAACAACTGCAACAAGCCCCGCCGTGGAACTGGGGGAAGTCCTCGAAGGGGTTATCCTGGGCCACCACCTCCTAATGTTCCTCATAAACGCTTCCCTGGTCCTCCAATTGATCCTCCTCCCCTTGGAAGGACCTTAAATGGTGGCTATAGGTCTCCACCTCGTGGCTGGGCCAGAGATGGCCCCAGAGATTTTGGTCCTGGGCTCCCACCTCCAAGGCATGAAGGCAGGTTTCCTGACCGTCAAATGCAAAGAGATCGCTTGGACTACTCTGACAACCATAGAGGAAGAAGCAAGTTCGATAGGCCAATGCCTATGGATTGGGGTAACAGAGATCGCGGAAGGGATGGCTTTTTTAATGAAAGGAAACCATTTGACAGGCGACCGCCCTCTCCTTCACCACCACCACCACCACCACCACCGCATGTACCTCCTCACCGTGGCCGATGGGCACATGATGCTAGAGAGAGAAGTCGGTCCCCATTAAGAGGCGGCCCACCACCAAAAGACTACAACAGGCCTATGTACATGGACCGGGGACGAGATAATCGTCGAGGCATGGGGCGAGGCCGAGTTGGAGATGCATATTGACTAGGTGGCCACGGGGATTTTTTTCTGGTGTAATTTTGTCTGAGTAGGTATCCGTTTTTCATCTAGAGTGTAAGGAAGAATGCGTAGAGCTTAGTACTAGTTTTCGTATTTTGGTTTTGAATTCGTATTTGTGACTTTGAACAGGTTATATGTTTCTTCAGTCCTGCATGTTTTTTAGGTTATGTTGTTCATATAACGGATTATCCACGGTTATTCTTCTGACCTTCATGTTACTTTTCAATTTTTGTTTTCGATTCGCTTTTATGGTTTTGAATTCATATGATCAAACTCGTCCATATAGTAAATTATTTTATAAATATAGTCTTTGCAGTAAATAAATTAAAACTAAAGTCGTTTAATTATTGAATTGTCTACAAAGATATGAACAGAATTTGCTATAATAGATCGTTTGAACAATTTTATTTTTAATTTATTTTTTACAAATATGATCTTACAGAATGATTTAAAATATGAATGTTTTGCTTGTAAGTACATAGTTTAATGGATTTTGAGTAGAAATGTTTGATGTGAATGTTCAATAATTTATTGCACCTTTTTGTTTTTTCGATTGGAATCATTATTCTTTTCTGTCACATCCTGTCCGTCCATTCCGTCCATCACACCAAACTAGAAAATTCCACCAATCACAAATCAGAGATGGCAGAGAGTTGTTGACCGCGGACCCCACCAATATTCCAATCCCAATTAACCACCTCAAAGTCAGCAAAACCCTTTTTAGCGCCAAATTCCGTACGTTATTTACTTCACGTTTTACCGTGCGGAATCTTTTAAATTTTACCCCAGTTTTTTCACCACCCAAATTTTAATCAAATACGCGATCTCTCCAGCTACACACTCCACTCTTCACAATGACCTATCCTATACGTGTCACAATCTCAACTGCGAACACGTTATAGTTCCAGTGGCTCCGCGTGCACCTGATTTTTGTTTCCTAAGACACCTCCACTCACAGACTCACACTGGTGGAAAATTTTGTATCTCGTCAAATCCGACGGTCAACCACCGACCTTACTCTCACCTATGAATTCCTGCCGTCGATCATCTTTTTTAACACAAACCGTCGGATCAAACCTAGTGTCCCGATCTTACCGTCAAAAAATCGCAAAATTGAAATTTCAAAACACTGGAAGAGAGAGGGAGGAGAGACGAAAGGAGGAAGAAGAAGAACAAAATAAGGCCCCCTTTGCTGTGCCTTCTCTCTTCTCAATCCCTCTCTCGAAAGCCTCGATTTTTCTCTCTCTACATTCTCTCTCTGGGAGTTTTCGGTTTTCCTGCCGCCTCTGTTTGGCAATTCGACGCCGTTTTGTTTGCGGCCGGCCACTGGCGGAGCTTCGCCGCGAATCTTGAGCTGCGGGGAGAGCAATTTCGGAGTGTTTGAATTCTTCCGGAGGAACCCGATTGTGTTTCGGATCTGAAAGTTTGTAAAGTTGAAGAATTTGGGAGATTATCCGAGAGTAATCAGTGGATTGAGGTTTTTTTTTTTTTCACCGGAAGAAGAAAAATTCGAAAATTTCAGGTGAAATTTTGGAAATTTGAATTTTTGGATTTCATGGGGGAAGGCGACGGGGCCGATTCGGCTCCGAAGAAGGCTCAATCGGATGCTGCAGCGGGCGCTGCCACGACGTCATCCTCGTCATCGATGAACGATGTTCCGGCGAGGAAGCTGGCGAGGCAGCTCGATTTCACGGTGTTTGGTAGCGCTCCGGCGAGTGTGGCGGTGTCTGAGCTTCCTAAGCCACCACTGCCGACCGTTGCGGTGCCACCGAGTCTGCCAAAGCCCCCCGTGGTGTCCGTGCCAGTGCCGGTGTCGTTGCCGCAGCAACCGCATACACTGAAGCCTGGGTAAGTTTGTAGCTTTTCAAAGGGATAGGCATATAAGTTTAATTTGTTTGGAATTGGAAAATTCTGTTGCTTGTTAATTTTATGGTTCTGTGGTGGATTCGTAGTTCAATTTTGGTTGAGAAGTTTGGATTTTGGATTGTGAGGTAATGTGGGAATTGTTCTCAAATTTGGAGGTGATTTGATTGCTATTTTTTTGGAGGGTAGTTTTGGAGCTCGTGTGTTTTAAGGTGTAATAAACAATGTTCCAATCTTTGTTTGATGGATTGATTTTGGGTGAGTTTTAATGGGATTTTTGCTATTGGTTTTGCTGAAGTTGGGTTAGTTGAACTTCTACATTTGCAAACAAATGAGAGGACTGCATTTGCATTTTTAGAATATGTGAATTTGATGAATTGATACTGGACATTGTTCTGATAGTTTAGTTTTGTTGAAGATGTTTTAGTCTGGTTTCAAGGATCTCCCCTTATCTAAATTTCGATTTACAAATTCTCTACCCTTATTGACGTGAGTATGACTTTTATTTTAGGCAACATCATTGAACTGAGTTCCTGGTTTTGGAATTTTAGTGGTAATTTTGGCTGGGTGATTAATGGCTATGGTTGATGATGCATCTTTATCCTTCAATGCATTTACTGAACTTTATTTGTAAAGCGTAAATTTTGTGGTTGTTATTGTACGTTGAGATACATCTGAACTTACCAGTGTCTAAGAGTAGAATCATTGTGTACAACCTCAAGCTGTTTTATTTATGTTGTAAGCACTAAACACTATTATTTTTCTTTCTTAGGAAACCAGAATCCCCAAAATCGAGACCAAGACCCAATGTTGATGCAAAAGATGGTACTCCTAAGAAGCAAAAACAGTGTAACTGTAAACATTCTCGCTGCTTAAAGCTGTAAGTGCATATCATCTCTGCACTCAGTCGGTTAGTATGAAAAACCATTCCTTGTAGGATTTGATGATTTGTTACAGTTTGGAACTGATGTTCTTATTGTTTTAACCTTACGTTTTTTATGGTTCATTTTGATTTTCTCTTGTAGTTCTCAATTGTCATACAAGAATTGCTAATTCACGACTTTCATGCATCAAAGGGTTTAGGTTGCAACTGTGTAAACTGTAGCAATAACGTTGTCATTTTATGACCAGGTATTGCGAGTGTTTTGCATCTGGAATTTACTGTGACGGATGCAACTGCGTAAACTGTTGCAATAATGTTGAAAATGAAAGTGCTAGGAATGATGCAATTGAAGCTACTTTAGAGCGTAATCCAAATGCATTCAGGCCAAAAATTGCGAGTAGCCCTCATGGAGCAAGGGATACTCGGGTACGTATCTCTTAGTTTGATGGCCTAGTTTCAGACATGATGCATCTTTTAATGTTGTCTTATTTGTTCAACAAACTGAGTTCAACTATTTGGCTTTTGTGAGTTGCAGTTGTTAATGTTACAGGAGGAGATTTCTTTAATAGTGTTTTCTCTTTTTTACCTTTTCTGATGGTTCTAAAGTCACGAGAGCATTCAAGATGTATACTTTCCCTTCATTTTTGGGGTTTCATCTAATATGGAATTTTGGTCTACCTGTCACCATGCACTTCTGACCAGCGTTCTATTTTATGCCTTGTGCATGAGGGACCAGGAAACATGCTTTGAAATTGATCAAGCCGTTTAGGAGCGTATGAAATATCATTGCATGTCCAACTTATTTGGCATGATTTATGAGCTTGTGGTGTCTATTACCTTTCCATTTTTAGTGAATTATGTATGGTTTTTATTTTTTTTATGCCAACACAAAAAATGGCCTAGATGAAAGTGACTTACTTGTTTTACTTTATATACCTTCTAATTAGAATTATATTAAATATTTCTATTGGTGTTTTTTATTATAGTACCCTTCATTATGACATTGTTGACAAGAATGTGGTCTGGTTTGGAAACATGTAGGAGGAAGCCGGCGAGGTTTTGATTTTGGGGAAGCACAACAAAGGATGCCATTGCAAGAAATCAGGGTGCCTGAAGAAATACTGTGAATGCTTCCAAGCCAACATTCTCTGCTCGGAGAACTGCAAGTGCATGGACTGCAAGAACTTTGAAGGAAGTGAAGAGAGACAAGCTCTATTCCATGGAGACCATGGCAACAACATGGCATATCTTCAACAGGCAGCAAATGCTGCCATTACTGGAGCTATAGGATCCTCTGGCTATGCATCATCGCCTCCAGTATCCAAGAAAAGAAAAGGTCAGGAACTCTTTGGACCGACAGCAAAGGATCCATCATTACACCGGATTGGACAGTTTCAACAGGTGAATTTAGTCTCATGGTATCAGAACTAGTTTTTGACAAATTAGTTGGTGCTGACCAAATGGACAAATGGTCCTATTAAGATTATAATTTTTGTGAACTCACTAGACCTATTTCCAGATCAGTCGTTATTTTTTGGAGAAAGTGCATGAGTAGATATCATTTTTAGTGAGATTCACATTCTTTTTGTTTACTTCTTGTGACACTGAATTTAGTGCTTAAACGTGGACGCTGAATGATTTTTGATAATTCTTTCTAGGGGTGTGCTATCCACACACCCCATTTTACTTCTTACACACCCCTTGTTAATTTCTATCCATTGATTTTCTTCAATTCATCCGATTCGACGGTCGAAAATTAGAATGGTGTGTGAAAAGTAAAATGGGGTGTGTGAATATCACACCCCTTCTTTCTATCTACTTTTTTAATAGCATATTATAATTTGAGATAGTATCATGAAGTGCATGTTTCATGTAATTGTAAGGGAAACAATATCAGAGCCCCTGCACCCTCTCCGCTGTCTTCGGTCCCTGTTAATCACCTTGGTGGTACTACAGGATTAGGGCCTTCTAAGTTTACATACAGGTACTATCAGGTTTTTTTTTTTTTTTAAAATAAACTGAATTGACGTGGTTCAGTACTAATTTATGTATGATTGTTGAAGGTCTCTCCTAGCAGACATCATCCAACCACAGGACTTGAAGGAGCTTTGTTCAGTTTTGGTTGTAGTGGCTGAAGAAGCTGCAAACACACTTGCAGGTAGTTTATTGATTCACATATGACGAATCACTATCTTTCAGATTTCACTGTTTTTCATGTGTGTGTGTAATTATAGACTTGTGTTTAAAATTATATATATTGATATTTTCTTCCTTGAACAAAAAATCATCTTAGCATGAAGCGCTACAAATAATGTCAAGTACGAGCTACCAAAAAAAAAATCTGGAAAGATAGGCCTTCACCCCAACCCTCCTTTAGTATACCATATTTTACAAAAAATTTAGAAGTCGGAGATGCTTAGAACCTTGTTATGTTCACTGTTGTGGTTATTTGTAATTTTGTATGCAATGTTGTAGAGTTTCTCCATTTGTATATGATCCTTACTAGTTTATTTTGTAGGTGATTTTTCATACTGATTTTTGTTTGTCTTTTCTTCGTAAAGACACATTAATTACTAATTGGGCATTATATGGCAAATTCAGTTATAAACTATCTATTATTATGATACTTTGAGTAGTCACTTTTCAAGTAGTTTTAGACTTTTAGTAGAAATGGGATCTGTCTGTAAATTCTGTACATTAATCTATCCAATATGTACAGACCAAAGAAATACAGCAGGGAAGCCGACAGAAACTTCCCTTGCTTCAACGACACAAGACAGGTTGCAAAACGAAAAGGAATCTGATGCTCAGAATGCTGTGGCTGATGATCGTTCTAGTTTGAATGAGGCTGATAAAATCAGCCCTGAAGATTCCAATTCAGATGGTGCCGATGTAACGAAAGGGAGGCCTATGTCTCCCGGAACTTTGGCATTGATGTGTGATGAGCAAGATACAATGTTCATGTCAGCTGCTTCTAATGGGTTAATGGGCGATGGTAACACATCTTCACGGTTACCTAGTGCACAAGGAATGACAGAAGTCTACGCAGAACAGGAAAGGATTGTCTTGACGAAATTCCGAGATTGTCTTAACAGGCTCATCACTTTTGGTGAAATAAAAGGCAAGTGAATCATTTTTCTTTTCTGGACTAATTACGGTATAAGGTTAAAAGTTTTCCATAAATTTTACCCAAACCCTTTATCACTACTCCAGGAAAAAACTGTCAGCGTAGTTCATTAAGTTGAGATTTCGTTATTTTTCTTTTACCGCTCTTCTACATTGGGAATCAATGTGCTTGTTCCATTTAACACTGCAGAAACGAAGTGCTCATCTTTAGCCAGAAGTGAAGCGGAAACTCAAAAAGACCAACACAGCAATGGCAGTACAAACGCAAGAATGGATTCGCAGACTACGCAGAGACCAATTACCAACGGTGTTACAAAACCTGTTGTTCCACTCGCAGCCAAGACAACGACATCACAGACGGTTACTGCAGCAGTCTCAGCCCTTAGTAAAACTCCCTCCCATCCGGAAAACGGAGATGGGAGACCAAAAGCTTGAAATAGAGTTGTAGAAAGATTTTAGCAGACAAGATTCGCCAAAGGTATTGTTTCGCTATGACTTATCTCCGTTGCAGCGTCAAGCCGGTAATTAGGAAGTTATTAACCATTCTTAGAAGTATCTAATTTCTCTTTCTAAGGTTATTAATATATTTATAGAATAGTTTTTTTTAGCTTTAACCATAGTTTTTCGGTCGAATTTGTGTAAAATGCAGAGCCTTGTAGTTGTGCAAGATATCGTTTTTAGATCGTTACATACAAATTAACATCATAGCTTGTATTTGCTACATGCTAGGATGATTTTTTTTCCCTTCCCTTTTTGATCTTTTGACATGTGGAAATAATATTCAACTTAGTTTTGCCTTTATGGAGTTAGCGGAAGACTTGATACAAAATCGAGCGCAATGTAGTTTTCCTTCGAGGGAAGAATCTGGTTAATCTTTCTGCGCCTTGTGTTTAAACAATTAGCCTTCTTCAAACCACTGACAATTTCAGTGAAAAGTGGTTTCATAAGGTCTTTTACGTGCGCTTTAAGAAAAGTATTACAAGTCGTATGGGAGCGATCTTATTATTTATTGAGTTATATTGGTATATTATTGAATTTTGAAGCTGGAAAACTAGCGGGGTTAAAAATTATATTTCGAAAGTTTTCTAAAATAGATCTTAGGTTAAGTACAGATAATTTCCTAACCGTAAGGGCTAATTTCAAATTATTCTCAACCTTTTAAAATATTCAAAATAACTACATAACGTACTGTGTTGGACATCCATTAGGTCTCTAACATTAAGTGATGACCTGAAAAATTATTCAAATGAGTTTTTCTCTCACGTTGTCTATAGAGCTCTAGATCTCTAAATCGATCCTTTTTAACTAGACAAGTTTAGCATTTGTCTTGGCTAATAGGGGTCTATTTGGGATTCAAAATTCCAAAGATGATGTGTTAGTGAGAGTAAGTTTCAATATTTGTTCACGTCATTACTTAATATCAAGGACATTATCAACTAGCTGTATTTACGTAATGTTGTTAACCTAACTAGTGTACAATTTTATATACACTAAGTAGTTACTTGGAATGTTTTAAATTGAGACCAATTTGAATTCACTTCTAAAAATTAAGTAATTATCTGCACTTAACCCTAATTTTATAGTTTTTGTTGAAATTAGCAAAACCGATTAAAAATTGTGAGTTATTGTCGTAATTAAGAAAGCATACTTTATGCTAGTGGAGGCCACATTATAGCCATACATTACAGTCCTTACCATTTCGAACGTTACAACTATTCATTCACAAAGCAAAAGGAAAGAATGATGAGTAAAAGAGAGGTGACAACAATATATTTTAGTTTGTAAACCCCAACTGCTTATGAATTCTCCATAGCCACCTTGCATATTACAAGGAATCGATGAACTCGAAACTTATTTTCCCGATTGCTGAATGTGCTCGAAAACCGGTTGAAAATAGGGTTCTTTCTGCTTAAATGCGTGACCTTGAAGACGGGGATGACGACGCGGGTGCACTCTGCAGGACAAGAAAAACAAATGTAACATGTTTACTTCAAAATGAGAAAGGGAGGTTTACTTCAACTCATCCAAATCCAGCAAAAAGGGAGAAGTTCAGGACAAAAAATAAGAACCGATGTTCTTACCAGCGGCAAGCCTTTTGTTGCTCTTTCTTCCAAAAACCTTGATGGTTTGAAAAAGTTGCCATATAATCCGGACCATTTCTTTAGACTAGCGTATATATGTTTAGGGCCAACCTGATCTGCCCAGAACACAATACCGCCCCTGCCACGTAAGAAACAGACGACGTGAAATCAAGCATGTACTAATAACTTCATCAGTGTCAACCGAGTGAAAAAACTAATAGTACACATCTGCAACAAGCTTGTACAAAAATGGAGAGGGTTGTTCAAGTCCGGACAGTTAATCCCGCAAGGGATAAATTGCCCGCACCTCGGATGTCCAGATAAAACAATCAGCCCTCTCTCCATTAGCTGCACGAGTAGAGAGGCGAATATTTCAAACATCTAAAGTTCAAGCAGACACGAGGGTCAAAATAGAACTCACCGGTAAGAGGGGAAACTCATCCCAAGAACAGATGCGATGTCAAGGTCTGCTGCTCGAATAACTATTCCTTCATCTAGAATACGACATGCCTCATTCACCGCAGGAAACAGCATCATCTCCAGAATTTCTTGGTCTGTAACAGTCAAAGGCTGCAAGCCAAAGTCCAGCAAACACGATGAGCATGATAGCCTCATAAAGAATGCATTATTTAAAGCAACTACTGAGCCAGTAACAGCAAGACAGAAATCCATTTAAAGTACTACTGTGCAAAAATGAGAATCTATCTTCTGATGTACAGAAAAAGTACCTTTCCACCAGGCATGATATTCGTAACTCGTCGAGATTCCTCAATAAGAGGTAGGACAGAAAAATCAGGTTTTGGCTTGCTTCCCTTCGCATAAATATAATATCCTTTTCCATTGTTTTTACCTGAAATGCCAAAAGCACAAAGCAGTTAGAACAAAAAACATGTTACAATACCCCTCTCCAACTTCTTTCCAAAAAAGGATGATCTAATAAAATTACTGAAGTTCTAGATTACCATTTCGTCCATTTTTTATCAAGATCTCAACCAATGGAGATTTAAATGTGCGATCAGGGAAAGCACGAGATAATTCCTTTCCAGCAGCAAGGGCTACTCCGTAGCCTCCCAAGTCTTGAAGCCTGCAAGTTAAGAGCACCAGATATAATCATCAATGTAGTTCTTAATTCTACGATCAGCATGTTGGAAATTCAAATAAAAACAGGCTGTAAAAGGTTGCTTCTAGCTGTTAGTTTCTTTACAGGTTGTATCCACACATGTTGCAACTACAAAGACTAAAGTTTCCTCCATGTGCTAGCTGAAATGGTGATGAAAGACAGCAAGTGTGCTGCCATGTGATGTGCTAGCAGGAAGACAGCAGTGTGCTGCTGTGTATTAGCCGAAAGAGTGTTGATTGCAAGCTGGAAAGATAGCTGCATATGTGTGCTAGACTGTCCAAAGTTCTTGCATGTGTTTTAAAGGGTGTAAAGATGTTAAACACCCCATTCATTGCATGTGTTGTTGCATTGTTTATCAATTTCTGTTTTGTATAAATAGGCCATCTTGCTAAGCTTTATAGCATCCCATCCAAATCCCATTTCCATTCTCATTTTCAGCTTGTAAGCTTTAAGAGTTGTAAACTCTTCTAATATTTCAAAGTGTTTGTTATCACCAAGCTTGCTACTTCTTTCATATATCAAAGTCCAAGTGTTTTACCAAAGCTTGTTGCTTCCCTCCTTTCTCTATTTCTTTGTCCAATTTTATTGAGAGTGAAAGTGAGAGGTGTGATAAAGTTTGTAAACTTATCACCCACATATTTTGGTATTGAGTTAGTAAACTCTTGAGAATACCAACAATTGGTATCAGAGCCAGAATACCATTCTGGCAAGTGTAGTAGCTATGGCGTCCAATTTAGTGCAACTCCAAGTTCCCACATTGAAGAAAGAAAATTATGAAAGATGGTGCATCCAATCCAAAGCATTGTTTGGATCACAGGAGCTATGGGAAGTTGTCAGTAGTGGGTATGTTGTACCCACTGCCGAGCAAGAAGCCGTATATACTGCGGATCAAAGGAACACTCTCAAGGACTTACGAAAGAAGGACCAAAAGACGCTGTATCTTCTATACCAGGGTTTGGAAGATTCAACGTTCGAGAAGGTTGCAGAAGCAACAACGAGCAAGCAAGTATGGGATACACTCAGTACAATCTACAAAGGAGTAGATCGAGTCAAGAAAGTGAGGTTACAGTCACTTCGAGCAGATTTTGAAACTGCTCACATGAATGAAGGGGAGAGCATCTCCGACTATCACTCAAGGCTCATTGTGATAGTAAATCAGATGAGGAGAAATGGCGAGAGACTCGATGAAGTACGAGTTGTGGAGAAGATACTCCGGTCACTCACATCTAAGTTTGAGCATGTGGTGACTGCCATTGAGGAATCCAAGGATTTGGAGGTGATGAGCGCAAAGGAGCTACTAGGATCCCTCCTAGTTCACGAGCAACGCATTCAGAAGAATGCAAACCCCACAACGCTAGAGCAAGCTTTGGAGTCAAAGTTGAATATTGAAAAACCAAATGGAGGTTGTGGGCAGTGGAACTCACGTCGTGGGAGTTCATCTAACCGTAGCCGAGGACGAGCTCGAGGAAGAGGTCGAGTCTATGCACAAAATCGAGGTCAGTCTCAAGAGTGGAGATCTACTCGAGGAAAGGCGCATATCCAATGTCACAATTGCAAGCAATATGGACATTATGCCAATGAATGTTCACATAAAAATAGTGAGCATGTCAACATGGCAGAATCAAGTGGAAATACTGATGAAGAACTTACAGTCTTGCTAGCACACCATGATTCCAGTAGCCAACAAGATGTTTGGTATTTGGACTCTGGTGCAAGCAATCACATGTGTGGAAAGAAGGAGTTTTTTGCCGAACTAAAAGATGGGGCCTATGGATCTGTAAGTCTTGGTGACTCCTCAAAGTTGCCAGTTGAAGGCAAAGGGAAGATCAAGATCATCCAGAAGGATGGTAAAGAAGAATACATCTCCGATACCTACTACATACCAGGTATGAAGAGCAACATTCTAAGCATTGGTCAACTGCTCCAGAAAGGGTACATTATACATATGGAGAATATGTTTCTCACTCTCAGAAATGCAAGGAGAAAACTTATTGCACGTGTTCAAATGTCAAAGAACCGAATGTTCCCGTTGAAGTTGAACACAAAGATTGGGAGTTGCAACATCGGTGTGATGGAAGATGAGTCATGGAAATGGCATCTTCGATTTGGCCATCTTCATTTCAATGGCCTAAAGTTGTTGTCAAGTGGAGGAATGGTTCGTGGTTTACCCCAAATTGAAGCCACACGCCAAGTATGTGAAGGTTGTGTGCTTGGCAAGCAAGCACGACTATCGTTCCCTGTTGGTGATACATGGAGAGCAAAGGCACCACTGCAGTTGGTGCACACAGATATATGTGGTCCATTGGATCCCATGTCTTATGGAGGTAATAGGTATTTTATTACCTTCATTGATGATTTCAGTAGAAAGACTTGGGTCTATTTTCTCAAGGAGAAGTCAGCTGCTCTAAAAATTTTCAAGGAGTTCAAGGCACTCACAGAGGCTGAAAGTAACCACAAGCTTGTGGCTGTGAGATTAGATAGAGGTGGAGAGTACACCTCCAATGCTTTCCAAGCATACTGCAAGGAGCAAGGAATTAGGCATCAACTTACTGCTGCCTATACCCCATAGCAAAATGGGATAGCCGAAAGAAAGAATCGAACCGTCCTTGACATGACAAGGTCCATGCTTAAGGAGAAGAATTTGCCAAAAGAGTTATGGGCAGAAGCTGTAGCTTGTTCGATTTATTTGTTGAATCGATGTCCAACAAAGAGTGTCAAGAGGATGACACCACAAGAGGCTTGGAGTGGATACAAGCCGAATGTTACACACCTAAGAATTTTTGGGTGTGTTGCATATGCTCAAGTTCCAGAAGCCCAGAGGAGGAAACTTGATGATAGAGGTGAGAAGTGTGTGTTTGTGGGCTATAGTGAAGAGTCCAAGGCATACAAGCTATACAACCCACTAACTGGCAAACTAGTGGTTAGTAGAGATGTCATCTTCAGTGAGGAAGAGACATGGAAGTGGAACAACAAAGAAGTCAGTAAAGAGAAGATCGTCTCCATTGATTTTGAAGAACCAGAAGTTGTACCACCTATTGAGCAACAGCCTGCTCAAACAATCACAACAACTCCAGTGCACAGAATTGCAAGGAGTGGTCCTACATCTAGTGAGGAAAGCAGCTCCTCAACTCCAGTGAGGTTAAGGAGTCTCACAGAGATTTATGGACAAGAAGAAGAAGAAGAAACCAATTTTTTCTGCTTCTATGCAGACCATGAGCCTCTCTCATTCAATGAAGCTGTGGAAGAAAATTGTTGGAAGAAAGCCATGGAAGAAGAGATCCATGCCATCGAGAAGAATGACACTTGGGAGTTGACAAAGCTGCCACCAAATCAGAAGGCTATTGGTGTTAAGTGGGTGTACAAGATCAAACGCACTGCAGATGGGAGTGTAGATCGGTACAAGTCAAGGCTTGTAGCAATGGGCTACAAACAGAAGTATGGAGTGGACTATGATGAAGTCTATGCTCCAGTTGCAAGACTTGACACGGTAAGATTACTAATCTCTCTTACTGCTCAGCATAAATGGAAAATTTATCAATTAGATGTCAAGTCAGCCTTCCTTAATGGAGTTCTTGAGGAAGAAGTGTACGTGGAACAACCGGAAGGCTTCCAAGTACAAGGAGAAGAAGAAAAGGTGTATCGTTTGAAGAAGGCTTTGTATGGCCTCAAGCAAGCACCACGAGCTTGGAACTCAAGGATTGATAACTACCTTCACCAAAATGGATTTCAGAAATGTCCATACGAGCATTCAGTTTACATGAAGAATGGTGCAAAAGGGGAGTTCTTAATTATTTGTCTCTATGTAGATGACTTGTTGTTTACAGGAAACAATGAAGCAATGTTCTGTGAGTTCAAGCAATCCATGTTTAGTGAATTCGAGATGACTGACAATGGATTAATGTCATACTTTCTTGGCATAGAAGTGAAGCAAGGAAGTGACGGTATCTACATCTCTCAACAAAAGTACATGAGAGATATATTGGAGAAATTCAATATGGACAAGTGCAATATTGTCAACACTCCAGTTGCAACTGGATTGAAGCTGTCCAAGGAAGGAGAAGGTGAGTTTGTAAACTCAACCGTGTACAAAAGCTTGGTTGGAAGCCTAAGGTACCTTACAATCACAAGACCTGATATAGTTTATGGTGTTGGACTCGTGAGTCGATACATGGAAACACCAAGGGAGTCTCATTGGCTGGCCGCCAAGAGAATTTTAAGGTACATAAGAGGTACTCTAAACTATGGTCTATTTTATAATTTTGGTGAAGATGCAAAATTATTTGGTTATTCAGATAGTGATTGGGGAGGTGACCAAGATGAAAGGAAAAGCACAACTGGCTATGTGTTTTTTCTAGGATCAACAGCTTTCTCATGGACTTCAAAGAAGCAATCAATTGTTGCTTTGTCATCATGTGAAGCCGAGTATGTTGCTGTAGCCTCAACCGTGTGTGAGGCAATTTGGTTAAGAAATCTGTTGAAGTCAGTGTGTCATCCACAAGTGGAATCGACTGTGATTCATGTGGATAACGTGTCTGCAATCAAACTTGCAAAGAATCCTGTTCAACATGGAAGGAGCAAGCACATTGATACCAGGTTCCATTTTCTAAGGGACCATGTGAAGCAAAAGACAATTGAGCTTGTCTATTGTCACACAAAGGAACAAGTGGCTGACATCTTCACTAAGCCACTACCAGTTGAATCATTCCGGTTATTGCGTGAAATGCTAGGCATGAAAGCGTTTTGATTTGAGGGGGCGTGCTGGAAATTCAAATAAAAACAGGCTGTAAAAGGTTGCTTCTAGCTGTTAGTTTCTTTACAGGTTGTATCCACACATGTTGCAACTACAAAGACTAAAGTTTCCTCCATGTGCTAGCTGAAATGGTGATGAAAGACAGCAAGTGTGCTGCCATGTGATGTGCTAGCAGGAAGACAGCAGTGTGCTGCTGTGTATTAGCCGAAATAGTGTTGATTGCAAGCTGGAAAGATAGCTGCATATGTGTGCTAGACTGTCCAAAATTCTTGCATGTGTTTTAAAGGGTGTAAAGATGTTAAACACCCCATTCATTGCATGTGTTGTTGCATTGTTTATCAATTTCTGTTTTGTATAAATAGGCCATCTTGCTAAGCTTTATAGCATCCCATCCAAATCCCATTTCCATTCTCATTTCAGCTTGTAAGCTTTAAGAGTTGTAAACTCTTCTAATATTTCAAAGTGTTTGTTATCACCAAGCTTGCTACTTCTTTCATATATCAAAGTCCAAGTGTTTTACCAAAGCTTGTTGCTTCCCTCCTTTCTCTATTTCTTTGTCCAATTTTATTGAGAGTGAAAGTGAGAGGTGTGATAAAGTTTGTAAACTTATCACCCACATATTTTGGTATTGAGTTAGTAAACTCTTGAGAATACCAACACAGCAGGCATAAACATTCCTTAAAAAAAAGCCAGATCCTAGTTTAAGATGAACAGAATAAGGGGCGACCCCAAGCCAACAAGGCTCTTTGCTTTGCAAGGGTCGGGGGAGGAAAGTCTATTGTATGCAGCCCTACCCTTGCAAAGAGGCTATTTCCATAACCTAAACCCGTGATCTTTTTTGGTCACAAAGGTGCAACCTTTCCGTTGTGCCAAGGCTCGCCCTCTAAAATGAACAAAAGAAAACACGAAATCTAGGTATGGTGAAAAGGAAGAAAGTTACTGGAATGGACCCATAGGTAGGCCAAAATCCCTAATGATCCTGTCAATTCTGAACACATCCACTCCTGAATTGACCAATAAATGGGCACTGTGAAAATAGGGAAAAATGCTCGATTGACGGCAAAGCCTGTGCAGTTACCAACCACAACAGGAACTTTCTTTATTATTTTTCCAACGGTAAAAAGATCAAGAATAACTTGTGCTGAAGTCTTCTCTGTCCGTACTATTTCAAGAAGAGGCATCACATGAGCAGGACTGTCCATCAAAGAACAATTCAAAATTAAGGAAGTATAAACAAAATGCATTCCACCATAACTATCAGTGCATATATAAAAAACAATGACAAAAAATGGTTTTGGCGGAGTAAAACATTTCTAAGTGGAAAAAAAGTGTGTTTCTTTTCTTCGAGTGGTACAGCAGTGTCCTCCTGGGAAGAAAAATGCATGATAACCTGAAAAAATGTGCCCCCACAATGCGATCATGAGAGTTTGTCTTTCCTCCAACAACATTGAGGTCAATAGTGGATGTGTTTGTAGCCAATACGCAGTGAGGAGGACAAACTTTCTCGAGTTCACTAAAGATTTTTTGTTTGAGAGGAACACTTTCAATGACGGCCTGCAAACAAGAAATAATTGTATCAAATGACTTTCAAACAGAAATTCAAGAGGTAATATGTAGATAATACAAATTTCATTACAACAAAAAACATTAAGTAGAGAGCAGATGCTCAGGCTCTCAGGCCCAAAAAGGTGGTCAATACAGATGAGCACAAGAAATCATCTCTAACAGAACAAAGAAGGTTTAAGAAATTGGTCTGAAAATATGAAAGGAAAAACAAAAAGAAATTGAAAACATCTGGTATGGCATTCTAAAATTCCCTACCTCTATGACCATATCCACATCTTTGAAGTCGGAGTAGTCCAAACTACCTTTAAGCAATGCGAGAGATTTTTGTTCCTTGTCCTGTGTCAGCCCCCTTGTAGTTACTAAGCCCTTAACGTTTCCTGTTGAAACAAAAAACCAACGATAAAGAATTTGAAGATTTCAGGTTTCAAATATCACCAGTGCACTGCATACACAAAAAAAACCATGCCAGTGTGTTATTTTGTTAGTTATCTGAAAACAAGTGAACCACCAATCTGCTACAAAACTCAGCACGGACTCCCATTTAAAATAAACATGATCTAATGCAGCCTGAATAGACTCATTCATAAATCCAAAGTAAAATGAATAGTAAAAAAAATCATATGCCGGACTGCAGCCTGAATCCTGAAGACTCGTTCATAACTCATAGGAAAATGGTAAATCTCAAGAATTCTGCCGATGAGGTAACCACCTTCTATCTTTTTTATGCCCTTCTGAAGATATTCAGAGTTGACTTCCTTTAGAACCACAGATATATTGCTGAGGAGAAGGGCTGTAGCAATGCCAGAACCCATCAGACCTCCCCCAATAACAGCAACTTTCTTTATTTGCCTTGGTTTAAGGCCAACATCAGTAACACTGGGCACCTGCATAAGTTAAAATTTAAGTACATACAACAAGAATCAAAAGAAGGGTAAAATGCAGAAACTGCTTCCTGGCAACAGAAGATAATAAACACTCTTCATACAATTTAAATAATTAGCAGAGGCATTGCATAAAAGCATCAATACAAATTCAATTACTTAAGGATGAATAGTGGATAACTGGATTTAGAAGCAGAACCATTTACAACAAACAGACGAACATAAACCAAATGGGAAATCACATTAAGAAGCCAGGAGAGGGTTGTTTAGGGCCAAATCTGTCAACAAATGTCATCAACACAAAGACAGAGGACTGGAAAAAAAATCTAAAAAAAGAAAAAGGGACCGGGCAAGCTAGTAAAGAAGCTACTTGTGTATCAAGATCGTACCTTCGATGTTGCACGTTGGGCAAAATAAACATGGACAAGACCTCTTGCAGTGTCTGCTAGAAGTAACTCTTTAGAAACTTTAGCCTCCTGAAATAACAATTTAATTTGTTAGAACATATGTGAACCGGCATGCCTTTACACATATGAAGGACGATTAAACATGTATAACAAACAATGTATTAAAAGGCCGAGGAGTGGGCGAGGCGTCGGAGGGATAGCCCCGTCTAGGCGTGAGTCGTGAGGTGAAGCTTCACGGGATTAAATTTTTTTAAATATATGTTTTATTTATTATACATATAATTGTAAAATAAAAAAAATAAAAAAAAAACTTTGTAAAATAAACATCCATTCTCAATTTATCATTCAAATCCATAGTCATTCAAAAGATAATATCATCTAATTTCATCATTCAAAAGGTAATATCATCCAAATTCATCATTCAAAAAGTAACACAAACATTAACTAAAATTGAATCAAAGGCTTACATGGAATTTTCTGTTTTTGCCACTCTTTAGATAGCAAAGAAATGCAGCTTTTTTTTACCACAAAATGCCTAATCTTTAATATTTATGCAAGAATTTAACTGAAAAACTCTACAGAATTCATAAATAATTGAAAATACAGAAATTATGTGCATCATTCAAGATCTCAGGAAGCCAAGATTTTCAAAACCAATTAGTTTCAATCAGATCTCAGTCAAGTCCAAACCTTTTTAGTCAATTTGCCACCTTTACACATTACATACAAGCTTAACTATTAAAATAAACTAAACTTAATAAACCATTAAAAAATTAGAGACAGAAAGACAAAAATTAGAGAATACAATAAATTAAAAAAGAATCAATAGAAAAAGGAAATAGAAAGTGAAGATCTAGCATAAACTAAACTATACTGCCTTAAAATCCCAGTTACAAAATCTCAAAGAAAACAGAACCGACACACTTTATTTCGACAAATTAAGGAAACCCAGTTCTAGAATCTCCCACAAAACAGAAAAGACACTTCATTTCGACGAATCAAGAAAACCCAGTTCCCTTTTCAAGCTGAAGAGTCAACAAACATCGAACACATACTTCTCTCGCACGAGCGCGCGCGCACACACACACTCTCTCTCTCTCTAGAAAAAGCTTCAGCAAGTACAAAAAGAAACAGACTTGGAAGCTCAAATTACAGACTATGGCTTCTACGTAGCTGGTATTAGTTCGAGATTACTTCCATTATATTTAAATAATAAAAAATAGACGAGGAAGAAGGAGTTGGGAGTTGAAAGGTTGCAGCAAGATAGCTATAGCATTATTGGAAGGTGTAGCATCAGAGAGGCTATTGTAAAGAAACAAAAAGAAGGAGAAGAAGAAAAATCACACCGGATTTGAGATGATATTTGGGTTTGGGAGGTTTTTCTAAAAAAAAAAAAAAAAAAAAAAAGCCAAACAAGATGCCTGGACGCCTTGAGGCGTGCCTCCGCCACCTCGGCGTCTCCGGCGAAGCCTTTCGTCCACTCCCTCAAAACAGAGGCAGGAACACTGACGCCCAGCCTCAGAGAACACCTAGGCGAGCCTTTTAAAACATTGATATTAACAAACAAAGCCAATGACATCAAAATTACCATTAAAAGGCCACTGTATCCTCCATGAACAATGCCATCCTCGATCACATTGAGGCATGCTTGGTGATGAGGCATATTGGGAGCATTCTTCCTGGCTTGTTGTCTGGCAACTTTCAGTATCTCTCGAGCCTCAGACAGGGAACCAAGTTTATCTGTCCTGTGAAGAGAGCGCAACCAGGGTTTGCGTCTGTCTGCAATTTCCAAAGCCCATGAACGAGATACTTTCAGCAACTCTTCAGGAGATACAATAGCATCTATAAGACCAAGCTTCTTCCCTTCTTCAGACAGGATTGGCTTCAATGACTGAAAAGGACCACATGCTGTACTAAATTAGAATCAATGCAATATGAGCTTGTAATGGATAATAATTTTGAGTAAAATTTCAAGTTGTACAAAACAAGCACACTGCGTGTGTTCAGCGTACGGACCTAAATATATAGTTTCAAGATAGAACACAAGAAATTATTTCATGACATATGGGTATAAAGCTCAAACAAAATATAGTTCAGAGATAGAACACAAGAAATTATTTCATAATTCTCAACATTTCAGTATGAAGCTCTAATAAATTTTAACTGTTCCACACTAAGCTATCTTTTCCTCTTTTGCCTTTTGTCCTCTCAAGGCAAATGACAATGTTTTCAAATCAATATGGTAGATCAAGAATTGAAAGAATATAGTTGCAAGCACAAAACTAGAAAATTGAAAACGAATAAAAAAAAAATTGAGCAGAGGAGCCTTACCAACATCATTTCAATTGCCTTCTGAAGCCCTACAAGCCTTGGAAGACGTTGTGTGCCTTACATAGCAACAATATTTTCACGTTTCAGTACAACAATCGATATTATTTTAGTGTCCAATTTACTTGCTTGTGTAGAAAAAAAGTTATACCTCCAAATCCAGGTATCACTCCAAGAGACAGCTCTGGAAGACTAAGTTGAGCTCTTGGAGCAGCAATACGTGCATGGCACCCCTGCACAAAATTTACTAATAAGACGCAATTCCACTACAGTTGTGACAGCAAATTTATCACCAAAAATCTAAAAACCAGAAGTTGTCCACTCATGGGTGCGAGCACAAACCAATGCCAACTCCAAGCCACCTCCTAGTGCAAGTCCTTCGACGGCAGCAACAACAGGCTTTTTCGAATCTGTTATACACACAAGCAGTTAACTCTGAGCAGCAAAAATGGAGCCCAGTAATTGACCCTTTCGAAAAGAACATTGGGGACAATACTTTCAAGTGTGTTGAGCACAAAGTCAAAAGATACATCGGGCATAACCAAAACATCCCCTACAACACCACACAAAACAACGGTGAGTTCTCAATCCATTTCATCAGTTAACTCAATGCTACAAATAGAGAGAGACCAACATGGTTCATTTGAATCATACCAGACTCGTGAACCTTCCCGAAAACATTGATATCGAAACCGGCTGAAAACCTTCCCGCATTGCCTTCATCAAACGAAAAACAAGAAAATTAAATTACAAAACATCCACAAAGCAAAAGAAAATCAATACAAAGATTCAAGCTTTCGATTGTCTAAACTTAGATTTTCCAATTGGGACGAACTAAATCGAACAAAACGTCACCGCATCACAATTCAATCGAAAGAGCAGGAATGGAAGCTGCATTACCGGTCAAAACGACCGCCTTGACGTCGTTTCGCCTCCCGGCCTCCTCGAATTTCTCCTTCAAGCTAGCTACAGCTGCAGAAACACCAAAATATCAATAAACAATTACGAACCGGCAGAGATTTGATAACGCAGAGGCAGAGCTCGCTCGTTCACTCGGTATGGCCAAGGCGTTGACGGGTGGATTAAAGATGGTGATGACTGCAACGCCGTCGCCGCCGACCTCCAAGTTGACCTTGGCCTTCGCCATGGATTGGAAAACCAGAGTGAAGAAGAAGAAGAGAGTGCTATTTTGAATTGTACAGTATCTCGATTCATCTCAACGAGGAATTTATTGTCGGATTATTTTCTTACTTTTTTCTTTAACAATTTTTCTTTGGTGAAGAATCGATCATTATCGGATTCTGCGCAATGTAGGGACAACTTCATTATCACAAAATAATCACGAACTAATCATGCTTTATACTTGAACTTAACATAAGTTTAAGCCATAAGATTTTACAAATTTCCAAGACTTTTGCAGTGGAAAGGGCAATCACAATCTGTTTCTTACTCCTCCATGCAACCAAGTTACCTATAACGAATGTAAAGTAACATGATGTTAAGCGCATATCGTCAACTGAACCAGCCAATATGCATTAGTATAACTTTTAACTCTAAGATGATTATTCCATTTAATAAAATTTCTTTGCCAGACTTACCTTTAAATATTGCAAAATCCTTACTGCACGTGTTGTTCTCCAGGTCATACATGTATTGACTTATTACACTTAAGGGATAAGTAAGGTTTGTCTTGTGTGTGCCATGTACATTACATGGCCTATTAACCTTTGGTATCTCCCTTTGTCATCTTGTACTTCATTAGGATCCATACTAAACTTCAACCCTTCATCTAATGGTGTAGCTACCGGCTGACAAGTTGACATGCCGGTTTCATGCAACAAATCAATAATATACTTCCTTGGACACAAGAAAATTGTAGAACTGCTTCTCGATACCTCAATCCATGTTATCACCATATCATCTACGTACACAATAAATGTAGTCGGCTTCCCATTTTGTCTTTTCATAAACAGTGTATGATCGAAGTTACTTTATCTGTAGCCAAATGTTCTCATAGAATTTGTGAAGCTTCCAAATCACGCTCAAGAGGACTGCTTCGAACCACACAAAGATTTCTTCAACATGCACACCTTTCTTTTGTATTTATTTGGAGCATACATACTGGTGGCAGATGTATATAAATATTTTTTGTCAAATCTCCATGCAAGAAGACATTCTTCATTCACATTGAACTGTTGTAAGGGCCAATTAAGAAGTATAACAAAACACAGATTTTTTGTTGAACTTGGTTATTGGGGCAAACATATATGTATAGTCGATTCTATATTTTTAGTGTACCCTTTTGTTATCAGTCTCGCCTTGAATCGATCCATCGCCACTTCAGCTTTGTACTTCAAGTATAGACCCATTTGCATCCCACAAGTTTCTTGCCAACTAGCAAGTCTGTGATCTCCTAGGTAGCATTCTTCTTCGAAGACTTCAACTCTTCATTCAATGTTGCTTGCCAACGTGGATTAGCTAAAGCCTCCAAAAACTTCAACTTTTCAGTCATTACTTCTTAGACGCATAATCGAGGGAAACAACCTAACCTTACCCACCGGATGAAGGAAAAGGATCCAAATATCCTATTGCCAACCATGTATCATCACATAAACTTCAACACCATGCAAAGCATTCATACAAAAACTATCATCGGATAGTATTCCGAGTTCCTTGAAAGAATCCCTATTTGATACTAGATGGACCAAGGCCATGAAAAAAGAGATGAGTGTGCTTCACAAGAACCGAACGTAGGATCTAGTCCCATTTGCCGAGAGGAAAGAAAAGAGTAGGTGATGTGGGTGAATGCAATCTAGCACAAAGCAGATGAATCCATTAAGAGGTATAAGGCCTAATTGGTTGCCAAAGGTTATACTCAAACCTATGGTACTGACTACACGGAAACATTTGCTCTAGTAGCAAAATTCAACATAGTAAGAGTGTTGCTTTCATTGGTAGCAAAACCTAGATTATCTTACAACAATTTGATGTGAAGAACGCCTTTCAACATGGAAATCTTAATGAGGAAGTGTATATGGACATTCCACTAGGGTATACATCACTTACACAATCAAGAGTAGTGTGTAAACCGAACAAAGTTATGTATGGACTAAAGCAATCACCTCGTGCATGGTTTGTCAAGTGCAGAAATGGAGTATATAGGTCTGGTAAAAAGAATATGTGATTTATTAAGGCTTCTGCGGTTGCTTACAGAACTTGGGTATCCGCCTATACTTGCAACAAAGTTGTTTTGTGATAACACAGCTGCCATTGATATTTCTCATAATCTAATTAAGTGTGGTCGAACCAAACATGTTGAAGGAGAAGTTAGACGCAAATATCATTCAATTTCTTTTCGTGAAATCAAAAGCATATATTTTAACAAAGGCAGTTGGAAGTCAAACATCCTAAACTCACTCGATAAGTTGGGCATCAACGACATTTATACACCAACTTGAGGAGTGCTGGCATAAGTTGACTTTTTGACGTAATTAACGGGCCTTGTTCCCTATATGATTCCTTGTAATTAGGATAGACTTCATTATTTATTCTTGTCTTGTAAGTTAAAGTTGTAATATATATCTTGCCTCCTATTTGAGGAGAGTACATTGAGAATTCAACCACCCAAATGAGCACCAGAATCTTATTTTCCTGAATACTGTATGTGATCGAAAACCGGTCGAAAATATTTTTCATCTGCTTACATGCGTGACCTTGAAGACGGGGACGACGACACAGGTGCACTCTGCAGCGCAAGAAAAAATTGTCTCATGTTTACTTCAAAAGGGGAAAAAGTTACGCACGAAAATAAGAATAGTTGTTCTTACCAGAGGCAACCCTCTTGTTGCTCTTTCTTCCAAAAACCTTGATGGTTTGAAAAAGTTGCCGTATGTTCCGGACCATTTCTTGAGACTAGCGTATATGTGTTTAGGGCCAACGAGGTCTGCCCAGAACACAATACCGCCCCTGCCACGTAAGAAACAACGACGTGAAATCAAGCATGTACATTAACTAACAACATCGTTACTGTCAACCAAGTGAAAACACTAACAGTACACAACTGCAACAAGCTTGTACAAAATGGAGAGGGTTGTTCAAGTCCGGACAGTTAACCGCAAGGGATCCATTGCCCGCACCTCGGATGTCCAGATCAAACAATCAGCCCTCTCCATTAGCTGCACGAGTAGAGAGGTGAATATTTCGAACATCTAAAGCTCAAGCAGACACGAGGGTCAAAATAGAACTCACCGGTAAGAGGGGAAACTCATCCCAAGAACAGATGCAATGTCAAGGTCTGCGGCTCGAAAAACTATTCCTTCATCTAGAATACGACATGCCTCATTCACCGCAGGAAACAGCATCATCTCCAGAATTTCCTGGTCTGTAACAGTCAAAGGCTGCAAGCCATAGTCCAGCAAACACGATGAGCATGATAGCCTCATAAAGAATGCATTATTTAAAGCAACTACTGAGCCCGTAACAGCAAGACAGAAATCCATTTAAAGTACTACTGTGCAAAAATGAGAATCTATCTTCTGATGTACAGAAAAAGTACCTTTCCACCAGGCATGATATTGGTAACTCGTCGAGATTCCTCAATAAGAGGTAGGACAGAAAAATCAGGTTTTGGCTTGCTTCCCTTCTCATAAATATAGTATCCTTTTCCATTGTTTTTACCTGAAATGCCAAAAGCACAAAGCAGTTTGAACAAAAAACATGTTACAATACCCCTCTCCAACTTCTTTCCAAAAAAGGATGATCTAATAAAATTACTGAAGTTCTAGATTACCATTTCGTCCATTTTTTATCAAGATCTCAACCAATGGAGATTTAAATGTGCGATCAGGGAAAGCACGAGATAATTCCTTTCCAGCAGCAAGGGCTACTCCGTAGCCTCCCAAGTCTTGAAGCCTGCAAGTTAAGAGCACTAGATATAATCATCAATGTAGTTCTTAATTCTACGATCAGCAGGCATAAACATTCCTAAAAAAAAGCCAGATCCTATGTTAAGATGAACAGAATAAGAGGTGACCCCAAGCCAACAAGGCTCTTTGCTTTGCAAGGGTCAGGGGAGGAACGTCTATTGTACGCAGCCGCCCTACCCTTGCAAAGAGGCTATTTCCATAACCTAAACCTGTGATCTTTTTTGGTCACAAAGGTGCAACCTTTCCGTTGTGCCAAGACTTGCCCTCTAAAATGAACAAAAGAAAACAGGAAATCTAGGTATGGTGAAAAGGAAGAAAGTTACTGGAATGGACCCATAGGTAGGCCAAAATCCCTAATGATCCTGTCAATTCTGAACACATCCACTCCTGAATTGACCAATAAATGGGCACTGTGAAAATAGGGAAAGAATGCTCGATTGACGGCAAAGCCTGTGCAGTTACCAACCACGACAGGAACTTTCTTTATTATTTTTCCAACAGTAAAAAGATCAAGAATAACTTGTGCTGAAGTCTTCTCTGTCCGTACTATTTCAAGAAGAGGCATCACATGAGCAGGACTGTCCATCAAAGAACAATTCAAAATTAAGGAAGTATAAATAAAAAGCATTCCACCATAACTATCAGTGCATATATAAAAAACAATGACAAAAAATGGTTTTGGCGGAGTAAAACATTTCTAAGTGGAAAAAAAGTGTGTTTCTTTTCTTCGAGTGGTACAGCAGTGTGCTCCTGGGAAGAAAAATGCACGATAACCTGAAAAAATGTGCTCCCACAATGCGATCATGAGAGTTTGTCTTTTCTCCAACAACATTGAGGTCAATAGTGGATGTGTTTGTAGCCAATACGCAGTGAGGAGGACAAACTTTCTCGAGTTCACTAAAGATTTTTTGTTTGAGAGGAACACTTTCAATGACAGCCTGCAAACAAGGAATAATTGTATCAAATGACTTTCAAACAGAAATTCAAGAGGTAATATGTAGATAATACAAATTTCATTACAACAAAAAACATTAAGTAGAGAGCAGATGCTCAGGCTCTCAGGCCCAAAAAGGTGGTCAATACAGATGAGCACAAGAAATCATCTCTAACAGAACAAAGAAGGTTTAAGAAAATGGTCTGAAAATATGAAAGAAAAAACAAAAAGAAATTGAAAACATCTGGTATGGCATTCTAAAATTCCCTACCTCTATGACCATATCCACATCTTTGAAGTCGGAGTAGTCCAAACTACCTTTAAGCAATGCGAGAGATTTTTGTTCCTTGTCCTGTGTCAGCCCCCTTCTAGTTACTAAGCCTTTAACGTTTCCTGTTGAAACAAAAAACCAACGATAAAGAATTTGAAGATTTCAGGTTTCAAATATCACCAGTGCACTGCATACACAAAAAAAAAAAAACCATGCCAGAGTGTTATTTTGTTAGTTACCAGAAAACAAGTGAACCACCAATCTGCTACAAAACTCAGCACGGACTCCCATTTAAAATAAACATGATCTAATGCAGCCTGAATAGACTCATTCATAAATCCAAAGTAAAATGAATAGTAAAAAAAAAATCATATGCCGGACTGCAGCCTGAATCCTGAAGACTCATTCATAACTCATAGGAAAATGGTAAATCTCAAGAATTCTGCTAATGAGGTAACCACCTTCTATCTTTTTTATGCCCTTCTGAAGATATTCAGGGTTGACTTCCTTTAGAACCACAGATATATTGCTGAGGAGAAGGGCTGTAGCAATGCCAGAACCCATCAGACCTCCCCCAATAACAGCAACTTTCTTTATTTGCCTTGGTTTAAGGCCAACATCGGTAACATTGGGCACCTGCATAAGTTAAAATTTAAGTAGATACAACAAGAATCAAAAGGAGGGTAAAATGCAGAAACTGCTTCCTGGCAACAGAAGATGATAAACACTCTTCATAAAATTTAAATAATTAGCAGAGGCATTGCATAAAAGCATCAATACAAATTCAATTACTTAAGGATGAATAGTGGATAACTGGATTTAGAAAACCAAGCAGAAACATTTACAACAAACAGAAGAACATAAAACAAATGGGAAATCTCATTACGAAGCCAGGAGAGGGTTGTTTAGGGCCAAATCTGTCAACAGATGTCATCAACACAAAGACAGAGGACTGGAAGAAAATCTAAAAAAAAAACTAGTAAAGAAGCTACTTGTGTATCATGCTCATACCTTTGATGTTGCTCGTTGGGCAAAAAAAACATGGACAAGACCTTTTGCAGTGTCTGCTAGAACTAACTCCTTAGAAACTTTAGCCTCCTGATATAACAATTTAATTTGTTAGAAAATATGTGAACCGGCATGCCATTACACATATGAAGGACGATTAAACATGTATAGCAAACAAAGCTAATGACATCAAAATTACCATTAAAAGACCACTGTATCCTCCATGAACAATGCCATCCTCGATCACATTGAGGCATGCTTCGTGATGAGGCAATTTGGGAGCAGTCTTCCTGGCTTGTTGTCTGGCAACTTTCAGTGTCTCTCGAGCCTCAGACAGGGAACCAAGTTTATCTGTCCTGTGAAGAGAGCGCAACCACGGTTTGTGTTTGTCTGCAATTTCCAAAGCCCATGAACGAGAAACTTTCAGCAACTCTTCAGGAGACACAATAGCATCTATAAGACCAAGCTTCTTCCCTTCTTCAGACTGGATTGGCTTCGATGACTGAAAAGGACCAGATGCTGTACTAAATTAGAATCAATGCAAGATGAGCTTATAATGGATAATAATTTTGAGTAAAATTTTAAGCTGTCCAAAACAAGCACACTGCATGTGTTCAGTGTATGGACCTAAATATATAGTTTCAAGAACACAAGAAATTATTTCATGACATTTGGGTATAAAACTCAAACAAAATATAGTTTAGAGATAGAACACAAGAAATTATTTCATAATTCTCAACATTTCAGTATGAAGCTCTAATAAATTCTAACTGTTCCACACTAAGCTATCTTTTCCTCTTTTGCCTTTGTCCCCTCAAAGCAAATGACAATGTTTTCAAATCAATATGGTAGATCAAGAATCGAAAGAATATAGTTGCAAGCACAAAACTAGAAAATTGAAAACAAATAAAAAAAAAATGAGCAGAGGAGCCAATTACCAGCATCATTTCAATTGCCTTCTGAAGCCCTACAAGCCTTGGCAGACGTTGTGTGCCTTACATAGCAACAATATTTTAACATTTCAGTACAACAATCGATATTATTTTAGTGTCCAATTTACTTGCTTGTGTAGAAAAAAAAGTTATACCTCCTAGTCCAGGAATCACTCCAAGAGCCAACTCAGGAAGGCCAAGTTGAGTTCTTGGAGCAGCTATACGTGCATGGCACCCCTGCATGAAATTTACTAATAAGACGCAATTCCACTACAGTTTTGACAGCAAATTTATCACCAAAAATCTGAAAACCAGAAGTTGTCCACTCGTGGGTGCGAGCACAAACCAATGCCAACTCCAAGCCACCTCCTAGTGCAAGTCCTTCCATGGCAGCAACAACAGGCTTTTTCGAACCTGTTATAACAGAAGCAGTTAACTCTGCACAGCAAAAATGGAGCCCAGTAATTGACCTTTTCGAAAAGAACATTGGGGACAATACCTTCAAGTGTGTTGAGCACAAAGTCAAAAGATACATCGGGCATAACCAAAACATCCCCTACAACGCCACACAAAACAACGGCAAGTTCTCAATCCATTTCATCAGTAAACTCAATGCTACAAATAGAGAGAGACCAACAAAGTTCATTTCAATCATACCAGACTCGTGAACCTTCTCGAAAACATTGATATCGAAACCGGCTGAAAACCTTCCTCCACTGCCTTCATCAACCAAAAAACAAGGAAAAAAAATTACATAACGTCCACAAAGCAAAAGAAAATCAATAAAAAGATTCAAGCTTTCGATTGTCTAAACTTAGATTTTCCAATTGGGACGAACTAGATCGAACAGAACGTCACCGCATCAAATTCAATCGAAAGAGCAGGAATCGAAGCTACATTACCAGTCAAAACGACCGCCTTGACGTCGTTTCGCCTCCCGGCCTCCTCGAATTTCTCCTTCAAGCTAGCTACAACTGCAGAAGCACCAAAATATCAATAAACAATTACGAACCGGCAGAGATTTGATAATGCAGAGGCAGAGCTAGCTCGTTTACTCGGTATGGCCAAGGCGTTGACAGGTGGATTGAAGATGGTGATGACTGCAACGCCGTCGTTGCCGACCTTCAAGGTGACCTTGGCCTTCGCCATGGATTCGAAAACCAGAGTAGTGAAGAAGAAGAAGAGAGTACTATTTTGAATGGTACAGTATCTCGATTCATGTCAAGGAGGAATTTATTGTCGGTGCCTCAATTATTTTCTACTCTTTTCTTTAACAATTTTTCTTTCCTGAAGAATCGCTTATATTTAACTTGTTTATTCAATATATCGGATTCTGTGCAACGTAGGGACAACTTCATCATCACAAAATAATTTCACGGACTGATATGCTTTATACTTTGAATTAAGCTTAAGCCATAAAATTTCACAAATCTCCAAGACTTTCGCATATTTCGTTTCTTACTTCTCTACGTAATTAAGTTACCTTCCATGTAAGTAACATGATATTAAATGCATATAGTCAACTGAACAAGCCAATATACATTAGTATAAATTTCTTTGTCTGACTTCCCTTCAAATATCGCAAAAGTCCTTACTGAACATGTTGTTTTCCAAGTCTTGGTGAAAGACCTGGTCAAAGATTTCAGGGTTGTTGCGGGTCAATGGATCGTATCAATATTTACTAGCAGGTCGACCCATGGGCCCAATGGATCATAACCAAGACGCCCTAAACAAAGACACCGAACCCGACGTCGTTTCCTGTGGCCGTCTCGAATAAACCTTTCCGTCGGCGAGCCCAGTGACAGAGTGACCAAAACCCCACAAAGCTCGAAGCTTTCTCCAATGGCGTCCTGCAAAGTTATCTCTAGGTTATCCTCCCGATTACAGCCCTTCACGCGCAATCTCACCAAGAAGTCGCCGGCATCCGAGCTTTCTCAGCTCAAGTCGAGCCTTCTCTCTCCGGCCTCCGCTCCCGTCCGACGCATTTCTGGTCTTTCCAGGTATATCAGCTCCTCCAATTCTCATTTCTCGTCCTCGTTTTCTTACGACCTGTTTGGCGCCCGAGAAAGTGTAGGAATAGTTTGTATCTTAGAAATATTTTGTCTTTTTGTTAGGTTACCAGTGGAGTTGGGATCAATGATGCCGTTGCACAGCGCGGTGGCTTCGGCGCGGTTGATATCGAGCTTGTCGATTGACTCTCAGAACTGGGGATTAGTTCCTCAAGGTGAGATTTTTACTTTAGTATGATGATTTACGCGCTTAATCTCTGTAGCTTGTACTTGACATGATGTTAACTAGAAAATGCACACCATCTGCTTGTTTGTTTGCCAACTTAATCTACTTGTTAAATGTCGGTGTTTAGCTTCGCAGGACTGGCGGATCAGTCTCGCACGAACAATTTGAATTGTTTGATGCGATGTTGCTTCATGATAAAATGAGCTATGTTGCATTGTTGTAATAGTTGTTCGATTGCCCTCGAGCAATCCTCTTAAGTGAAAATGTGGTTTAGAACTGCTCTGGAATGACATTACGTAACAAAGTTCAAATTCTGTTTGAAACAATTGAAGTTTTCTTGTTTTGGATGCTCGGCGATATGGGGTTTTTGAGCTCAGCATTTGCTTTGATTATAAACTCTTTCTCTATTTGATTGAGTTTTAGTGATCTAAGTTTCGGATTCAGGTATATATGGCATTTTGTAGTATTTATGGACTGGATTGGCTATCCGTTGCCTGCCTTCTTATGAGCCTCTGAGTGAGCTTGTATTGTTAAGACTCGAGAGATAACTACCAGGGGCAGACTATGGTTGTTTTCGTTTTTTAGATGGAAGTTTTTGGAGCTAGATATATCCTATTGACTTAGAATTTTTCGGAGCCTCAGTTTGCTTCCTAGTAGTAGTTTATACAAAAGTTGCTAGGGTGCTCTGGCATGCCATTTTCTTTGTTCTCAAGAACTTAAACTAGACATGCGCATGTATTCACACCTGCACACTCTACCGAGTTGCAACAATGGATTCTTGCTAATCATCTTTATGTATAACTATATCAATCAAACGATATACAGCACTTAATGAAGCAACGGTTTAAATGTAAGTAAAAAACTTCCTTGTTTTGCTAACCGTAAGTTGGCTTTACATCAGTCTCGATATAATCACGTTCAGCCATGTTCATGTGATATCAAGTATGAACTCTAACACCTTCTTTTCTTTCACATATTTCAGGGATTTCAATGCCTTTATGACAATGTCTCCCTGTATCAAGTTGTCTTGCATAGGCAATGTAGGTCTCGTGTTGACATTTTCTTTTACGATCACTTTAGTGACATAAGATGTTGAACAGTTCATCGGACACCTCTGTCTGTCGATTTTCATCCTTTTGTTAGAATTCCTTCTTCAATGAGGCTGGATGCTTTTCTGTCTATCGATGTTTGGGCATTACAAAGGGTGAGATGTGCCCGTCATTGTGTACTTAGTTTATCCATGATGCTGGACGCTTTCTTTCTTATTGCTTTCAGCTACATGTCCAATTACAAGTTATACAAGACAAGTTCAATTTCAAAGCTGTTTGGAAAAGTTACCTACTTACAGAAACCCTTCTCTCTCAGTCAGTTACTTGCGGGTTATGGCACAACCCTTGAGAGGGTAAGATAAGGAGGCCCTCAGTATCTTGTCTTAGCTGATAAGATCGTTTTTTTAACGCTCCTCTTTTAGTCTCCTGCGTTTGTATTTAATTTAGAGTGCAAGTGACTAAAGCAGGAGAACTAGAGTAATGCTAAGAAGATTAAATTTTGAAAACTAAAGAGCGTGGAAGTTGATGATTGGTTTATTACTTAAACGTTGATAAAAATGCTTATTTCTATTGGTAACACATCATTTAATTTTATAGAAAATTTTGAGTTTGATTCCTATGAATTAGAGTTGAACTCATACACTAGTCCGTAAAATTTGAGTCCAGTAGAGCGAGTACAGTATAGAACATGACTCTTATTACGATTAAACTCACACAGCTACAAAAACAATGGGTAGGCCGGAAGCCCGACACCCTAATTTTAATATACAAGAATCAAACTTACATAAACCACCATGAAACAATATTGGATATAAAGGGCTTGTCATTTCATTAGTTTCAGTGGAGTTTACTACTTTACCGTCGCACTGTTAAGCAATTCCTACATCCCCTTCATAAATAGTAAGGGCAACTTCGTCATTTCGGACAACTTTGGGATTACTTTTGTATTAAATCCATATATCGGGTAACAGAGATGGAGCTCTTCCAACGGCCACACATGGCCTCCTTCACCTCCAACGCACTGCAGCAAAAGCACCACCACCACCACCTCCCCTCCGCCACCCTCTGTAAGTGCCCGTCAGCTTTCCACGTCTTTAAATTCCGTTTTCCTTCTCATATTTTCACTTTCTCGCCACCCAAACAGACCCTTAAGCTTTATCCACTTCCACTAGCTAGACAAAACATCAGCCACATAGTTGCAAAGTTATCGTCGACAACGTACCACGAACCGTACACAAAATCCCAGAACTCAGGAACTGGAAGTGGTACGGAGTTGTCTTCCTTAAAGTCCACGGAACAACGGGTTTCGAGAAAATCCGAAAAGCACCATGTCGGTTCAGGAGTGGAGAAGAAGGGTGAAGATACTAGGAAAAATCTTGTCTTTAGAAAGAGGAGGGATGGGAATGGTCCTAATGGGTCAAATGGGCATTCTTCTAGGAGGTTTAGAGATAAGAATGCGGTAAAATCTTTGAAAAGCCGAGGCGGTTTAGGGGTAAAGGAGGGGAGGAACAAGAGGGGTGGTGGTAATCAGGTGGGAGGAGAAGAGAGAAGGGAGAGAGGGTTGAAGAAGTATGATGCTGATTCGCCGGAAGTTAAGATGCGAGTAGGTTTGGATATGTGCTCGAAGAGAGGGGATGTGATGGGTGCAATTAGGTTCTATGATTTGGCTCAAAAGGAAGAGATTAAGTTGGAGCAGTATCATTATACTGTGCTGTTGTATCTCTGCTCTTCTGCAGCTGTTGGTGTTGTTCGTCCGGCGAAGAGTGGGAGTGGGAGTCGGACTTTGGATACCTTGGATTTGCACAGCGAAGAAACTAGGGTGGAATCCATGGATACATCAAATTTGGACAATGGGGACCTGGATGATACCTGTGGAAGTAACAGTTTTGATGATGATTCGGATGGTACTTCCAATGAAAAGGAGAATTTAGCATGGTTTTCTAATGGGTTTGTGAAGCGAAATTCCCGCCTTTTAGATGGACTGAACTACCCCACAAGGGGTGGAGATGATTCTTCTAATGTAAAAGATGGGAGCAGTAAGCAAGAAGATAATGGAATTCGGGTTAGTGAAGATGTGAAGAAGTATGCGCTCGAAAGGGGATTTGAGATCTATGAGAAGATGTGTTCGGATAATGTTCCGGTGAATGAGGCAGCATTGACATCTGTGGCTAGAATGGCAATGTCAATGGGTGATGGAGACATGGCATTTGATATGGTGAGGCAAATGAAGTCAATGGGAATAAATCCTAGACTCCGTTCCTACGGTCCTGCATTATCTGCTTTTTGCCATAGCGGAGATATTGATAAAGCATTTGCTGTTGAGAAACACATGTTGGAGCACGGTGTTTATCCGGAAGAGCCTGAACTTGAAGCCCTCTTAAGAGTGAGTGTGGGAGTTGGTAAAGGCGACAAGGTGTATTATATGCTGCACAAACTAAGAACAAGCGTAAGGAGGGTCTCACCGTCTACTGCAGATTTAATTGTAAAATGGTTTCTTAGCAAGGAAGCTTCAAGAGTGGGGAGAACAAAATGGGATCGAAGATCTATAAGGGATGCAATCGAGAATGGAGGTGGGGGCTGGCATGGGCAGGGCTGGTTGGGAAAAGGGAAGTGGTCTGTGTTACGTACTACAATCGGAGATGATGGCTTGTGCAAATGCTGTGGGGAGAAACTGGCCACAATTGACCTTGATCCCGTAGAAACAGAAAACTTTGCTGAGTCAGTTGCATCAATAGCTATAAAAAGAGAGAAAAACTCAAGCTTTCAGAAATTTCAAGTACAAAAATCCCATCAATATGCGTTGTTTTAGCTTAATCTTGTATTCAGCCTTGACTTAGGAAAGAAAAATATTTTGTTATGCAGAAATGGCTGGACTATTATGGACCTTTTGAAGCAGTGGTGGATGGAGCTAATGTAGGCCTTTTCAGCCAGAAGAAATTTGTCCCGTCCAAGGCAAGTTGCACGATGCTTAGGCACACACGCAAATCAAGTTTATGTTCTCATTCGTGATTGATGTAAATTTTATTGGTGGATTGTTTAGGTCAATGCTGTTGTTAATGGAATACGGCAGAAACTTCCTTCGAAGAAATGGCCACTTATTGTTCTTCATAATAGGCGCATCACCGGAGGCAGAATGGATGAGCGAGTAAATAGGGCACTGATTGAGAAGTGGCAACATGCCGATGCTCTATATGCGACACCTACTGGTTCAAATGATGATTGGTGAGTAACATAACATTGGAGGTAACTTCGTATATGATTTTTCCATCAAATTTCTGATTTAATAGCTCATTCTTGTTAATTATCTAGGGAATACATATATGCATTTAAAGTGCCACGATATTACCTGTGATTCAGGTACTGGTTGTATGCAGCTATAAAGTTCAAGTGCTTACTTGTGACAAATGATGAGATGAGAGACCATATATTCCAACTTCTTGGAAATGATTTCTTCCCCAGATGGAAAGAAAGGCATCAAGTGAGTGAGGATCTTTTGAAGCTAATATTTCATCGTGCCTCTGTCGGTTCTTAATGTGAACTTTGCAAAGATAATAAACTTATCTATGCTGGACTAGATTACTAGGTCCAATCTGTTTTACACTTCTTGCAACCAACGATTCTTGGTTTCCGGTATGATTTCTAGTCCTATTTTTCTAACTAGCTAGCTATCGTTTTCTAATTTCAGGTGCATTTCACATTTTCTGATGCTGGTCCAGTCTTTCACATGCCTCCTCCCTGTTCTGTTGTAATACAGGTAAATCAAATTAACTGAATCTTTGATTCGAAAATTCTGTATCTGTACATGTTTATATTTCTATCTTTTGAAAGCCGACTCAACAGAAATATTGGTACACTTGGTGCAATTATGTCCTTAGGAATCAGAGGAAGGGCACTGGCACATTCCAGTTGTATCAGAACATGAGCGTGAATCAGAACGAACATGGCTATGCATTATGCGAGCTAAATCACGCACGGCAACAAAGGATTCTGCAGCCATCCGTGAAGGTGATTTTCAAGTGCTAGCAATTCGCTTGTTTATTATTGCGCAGTCACTTTTGTGTTTATAAATTTACTGAGTTCATTGTGTGGAATAGATGCACAACCCCCTCGTCATAACAACGGATATGCAAGGTCAGCTACCCGAACTGGTGTTGATTCACAGCCACTGAATAGTGGCAACCAAAAATATTCTAAACACAAACCTAAGGAATTTATCAAGAATCTCAAAGATATTCTGTTGGGGTCCGTGACCTTGGATCATCACTCGATTGTGCCAGACATTGCAACTGCAGAGAAGATTGGTGGATGCACCATTGATTTCCAAATATAAAGTTTATGCAATCCTGTTCAGGAACTTCACTGAGGCATTAGGTAGTAGCCAATGAGCTCCCAACTGAGAGGTTTTTTGTATAGTTGGCGGCTGATTTTGCTAGTTGGAGAAGGATAGAGATTTGCGATTGCAGAAAGCACTTTTGGAATAAACTTTTAGTAGCTTAGGGCTTTTTTTCTCCTCCTTTTTGCACGCGTGTGTACAGTGGGGTTGGCTGATAGGGTGGTTCTCATAGGCCACAAGCCTCTCCTTTGGTTGCATGATCTTTGATTCAAGTAAACTCAATTTGATGCTCTGGCCTCGTAGCTTAAGTAGTTACCTCTGCTTCCGAGATCATGTGCTTTATTTCTCTTTCACCAATATCACTTGTTGATAAAAGTGAACTCAATTTGATATATACATTGACCTTCTGAATGAGAATCTATAACATGTTGGAACGAGCATCGAAATTATTCAAATTACGGAATTGCCCTTCATTCTCGTTCCCTCTCTGTTGTATTCATAACTTCTCTTTTCTTCTCTTTCTAAATTTTCGACTTTCCTGATTCATGATTTTCTCCTTTCCAAATAAGTTAATATGCAACCAGTTTAAGGTAATCCAAGTCGAATCTAACCACATTGGGACTGCCAATAAACCTCGTTAATTGATTGTAACAATCTTATCATTATCTGACAATTAGCCTCTAATTATTCTTGATATCAAATCATTTTGTCATGAACCCATATAAAGAATGTGTAATTACAATTATACCTCGGAAATAATGCAGTCACTCATTCAAATCAAATATACTTTAATGGATGGGCAGTACCACCTGGCACCTTTGATTCGCTTGTCAGTCACTGACTAACACTAATTCTTTTTTAACTTTTCTTCTAAACAGAAAGCTAAACAGAATAAAAGGCAAAGAACACAAAATCACGGGCTGAAAACTCTGTTTTTGTCATCTTTCTCTTTCTTGATACACATGCTGCTGTGATCATGTAGAGATTTTTCATTATGTCAAGAACATGGTCCAGTCCATCAAGAGGCAGATGCAAATTGAGACCAAGTTAGTACTATGATCACTCGGAGTTCGATAAATATATATGTGAAGGTCTGATCATCTGAATGTTTTGTACATGTTCTTTTTGTACCTACCAAGTTATTGATGAAATACCTGCTAGACATATTTAAACATATTGCGTCGACAATACTTAACAAATTCTCTCAATCTCACTCATCATATAGCTTCGGCATATGTTGCTATTTGTTGACATACGTGAATCATGGTATGTGACTCATGACAACAAGTCCATCCAGTATTTGACGAAATGCCTCGATGAATAAACCGAAAAAGATTTTGTGCTTTGCAATCCATTCTATCTAAAAGACTAAACACTGGGACATCCCAATATCCGAATTTTGAATCCGCCACTAGGTACACCAAATGTCATAATATAAGTAATTGGATACTTAAAAAATAAAATCAATCACTTATTTTGTGGTATTTGATGTAACGAAACGTGTTCTCGACATAACAAAAAATTTCTTGTGGCCATGACATGGAGAAGAATCTCTCTCTTCTCTATTAATGTGTTTTATTTTGTATGGTTTTCTCTGTGTTTCCATGCTCATCATCTCTATTTCTCTATAGATCACGTGTCTATCTGTATAGTCACAATCTCCGTGTCTCCTTCTCTCGCTCAAAACAAAAGCAAGCCACCCACCCCACTGTAATTGTACCATCATCCCTTTCTCAAAGTTTTCAAGTTTCAAACATGGAGGAGGAGATGCAGAGCAACTCCAAGTCCCCCTCAGGGAGAGGGCAAGAATCAGAGGCAGAGTCTAAGGACATTGTAAGCTTTGATAAGTCTCTTCAGGTACGTTTTCTCAACTCAACATTAAAACTTCGTCGTCGTCTGATAACCATTTCATTTTTTATTTTAGTTTTTAGAGGTGGAGGAAGAGTGATGTGAGATATGTAGAAGACTTGTATATGAAATGGTACACAAGATGAAAACTACAAACCTGAAACAGTTTTAAGTTGTATTCGCTCTCAAGTTTTTCTGTAATGCATTCTCTTTTGTTTTCTCCGTCGTCCCACCCTCCACCCTTCCGCCATCTCCCATCTCTCCTTCGGAATTTCCACCCATATGCTTTCCCTTAATTTCTAGCAAAAAAAAAAAAAAGCACAAAACGAAAAACAAAATGGTTATTAAAAATAGCGTAAATTATTGTCCATATTTTTCTTTTTTTCTTTTTATCTTGTTTTATTTCTTATGAAAGTGCCAAATTCATTCGGTTTGTTCACGGGTAAGCTTTTGATAACACAAACAAGTCAAACCCAATACTTTAGAAAATTAAAAACAGACTTTGTAAGGATTGGAAATGGTTTTAGAAAAAATGGCTGAAAATGCTTTCACAAGATGTGTTTTTAAGTTCTAAAAGCACTTGAAGCACTTTCTGCAAAAAGCAGTTTAAGCGCTTTTGCAAATTTACTTGCATTTTTACTAAAGATTGCTTCTAAATATATTTTCACCCAAAGCGTTTTCAGCTATTTTAAAAAGCACTTCTAAACGAGAAATGATGTTTTTTCTAGTTTACTGAAATCCATTTTGTTTGTGGGTTGAACTTGAAGGAACTAAGAGACCTGCGCTCACAACTTCACTATGCTGCTGACTACTGTGAATCAACCTTCCTAAAGACCAAAGAAAAGAAAGTGTGAGTCCCTCTAAACAAACCTAGTTAAATTCCAATGGCCTCCATACAATGACCTTTTTAGCCCTCACCCCATGAACTAGAGTTCAACATTTTTTTTCTTAATTCAAATTTTGCAGTGTGATGGAAAACACCAAAGAGTACATATGCAGAGCTGTGGTGACTGTTGTCGATCATCTTGGATGCGTTTCTGCCAACCTCAACGGCCTCATTTCCGAAACTAACACATTTTCGGAGGCTGAGATTCGAATTGACTGCCTCAAACAAGTTGTTATTACCACCTTATATCAATCTAGCTAGCTTATGTTAGTTAATACATGGGTTTATGTAATTGCAGCAATCACTAATCAGTATGCTTTGTGTTTGTCAGAGGATGTTCTTATGTGAACAATACACCCACAAATTTTCTCTTCCTAGATTCCGATGGAAGGACATTATCCCGCAGCATAAAGCACGGTTTTTATCTGCAGGTAAAATCCGAAACTGCTGTGCTACTTACAAAGATGTTCATAGTCTTCATTTTTTTCACCTTCTAATTCTTTGTTTTGTGATCAGCTACCGAAGAAGCTGAGAAGCCCAATGAAGATTTGAGGTAAAGTTTTCGTCTTCATAATTTCATAGCAAAAGTTGTTTTAATTTTATTTGGCTACAGGATGTTGTGCATTGATAAACAATCTTTAAATTTGATGAATTTGATCATTTATGCAGGGCTATTCCAGGAAATCCAGCCTCTCGTAAAACCATTGACAAGCAAGATCTTGGCAAAGATGTAGCAATGCCACTTGTCTTGTACACCTCGTCTCACAAACGGTCATTGTCCAAGGACGAAAACAATTCAGTTTTAGGTAACATGATCTTTAGTTTTATGAATGGTCTTCAACATACTCCAGCACATATGATTTGGGACTCTCAATCTTTAACGTCGATTATTTGACTCTAGTGCCGGTTTGTGATGGCCTCTCAATCCTGTCTAGAGGTCCAAATCCTACATTTCATTTCCAGGTGAATTGACACAAACATAATATGTTTATTATACGACGTTTTCTACCATTAATTTGTCTCCTATTCCTTCCATTATGGCATGTCTCTTCTTGTGTTGTCTTGAAGGAATCTCGGAAGATTACTGGCCGCCTCAAGAAATCTGGGCACAGTAATGACATCTTGGCACTCATTAGACGAGCAAAAAGAACGGTATGAAAAAGAGAAGAAGGCGATTTGTACCACATTGTTAGATTATTCCAAGCTTATCTTTCTTTCTTTCTCAGTGGCTAGGGATGATTGTTATGGTTGTGTAAATGAAATTAATCAAAGTTGATTCCAAAATCATCGATAACAATGTTTCGGGTTTTAAAGCGACTGGGATAAGCAAATCAGCAATATCCAATTCCAATGTTTTACTACCAGCATTTTACATAGTGAGTTGCATCCGCAAAGTTTGTCCTTTCGTTGCATAAATTTTAAATTTAGTGCACATCAAGCACAATATCCCGAAGGATGTTTTCAGTCCGATTAACTCCAACTTTGCCAATTTCATAGCGAAGAGTGCATTGGTTGGTAACTTGGTAAGAATTCGGAATTTCAATCTCACTAGGTTTTTTTCTCTACTGGGAGAGTATCTGACTCTTGCCACCAACTGGAAAAGGGTCGGCAGCGAAACAGGGTAGGTTCTTGTGGCGATGGTTTTACTTTTATGGTCAAGTTGAGGCGTTTTTAAATTTTACTCGGGTGATAGGGCTGGTTTGGTATTGCTGTGTTTTGAAAAAACTGTTTCTGCTGTGTTGTGAGAATAAGCTCATTTTTGCTGCTTCACATTTTCACCTTTTTTTCACCCGAAACTGTGAAAATAAACTGTTTTTAAGCGTTTACCAAACACCTTTTTGAACTCAGCTTTTTTTTATACCCACTTTTTATCAAACCAGTACATAGTCTAATCTAAACGATTGAAACTTTGGGTGCAGAGGGAAAGGCATATTGTCTTAGCCAACTAAACTACGGTTTAGTTGAGACTTGAGAACAAAATTTGTCGAGCGAAAGAAAGGAACAAAGACCATACAGCCTTTGAGAAAAACTAGAATACATGTATTACTGTTTCTAACAACCAGCAAAGATCAGAATAACCACATCCCAATTCTCAAATGCATCAAAAACCCACTAATTACAAACACCCAAGAAACTTCCCAATCCTTCAATAGGATGGAAGAACAAGCACACTACTTAGAAGTATATCTGTATCTCTCTCTATGTCTATCTGCCCCTCTCTCTCCTTTGTTCTTCAATTTTTCCATCAATGCCGAGCTGTTGGACTTCTTAGACCACTCAACTTCTCAAGCTTCTCCAAGTATGAAAATCTCTTGGTGTTTATGCTAGCGGGAGGTTTGCTCATGATCTTGTCACGGTCTTCATTAAAGCAGCTCTCCTTGTTGCCTGCTGAGCTATCGTTGTCTATGTCATTCTCTTCCGTCTCTGCATTCCAATCCATGAACTCAAACAGTGTCTTTGTTGGTGTCATGTCTCCATCTTCCCTAGAATCCAGTGAAAGCCTCATGTTTGATGATGATTTTCGAGCTTGAGAATCAGCGTAAAGCACATCTTCGATCATGGACATGACTTTGAAGGCCAAGCTTTCGATCACCCTCGAATAGCTCTCTAGGATAGCGTACCCTACATCCTGCATAGAGACAAAAGAAACGCGGTTATTAGATTTGAAAAACAAGTTAACAAGCACAAGATGTAAAGGAGTAAAATATGTTTGTATGTTCGGCAGTTTAGTTCTTACCATATTGAATTGAATTTTACTTATGTCAAGCGCAGATTGTGGGATTCCTGGGAACTTCTGTTTCAATAGAAGCAAGATAGTCTCTACTCTCTCTTCAAAGAGCTCTCTCTTCTCCAAGCTCACGACCGAACTCCACGAAGACTTTCCATTCTTTTGGTTCATCTTTTGCTTCCAAATTACAATAGAGGCCTCAATTCGGTCTTTGAGGTCAAGCACTTTGTGCTCTGTGGACATGTCCATGGAGCCAAAGAACTCCAGAGGATCAAAGTGGTCCACCGTTATGCTCTTATAGATCGAATCACCGAGGCTAGCCCTACCATTCTGTCAAAAGAAAACAAAGTCAACCGTTCTGTCCATTACGAAAACAATATCTTGGAGACTAATTAGAATGAGTGTTACGTGTTATACCTTGGGAAGGGATTCAATGTAGTTTTCGGGTATGCCCATTTCGGCTAGCACTTGCGCGTTGATGGCCATTGCTGCTTTTAGTACTTGGTTCACAGATTCCTTCTGAAATTGCATCCACCTTCGGCATTCATCCGAAAGCCCTTCGGGTGGAACTTTAACCGCGGGTTTCCACCATTTCTCGTCATTTCTCTGGGAATTATCATCATTTTCAGAATCTTGGGCTCCTTTTTTCACATACCAGAACTCATTTGGGGTTCCAAAGCTATCCAAGTGACCCTGTTTCGTATAACCGATTAGCAATAGGTGTATAATTCTGATATTTTCTAGCTAAACCAGGAAGTAGGTGAGGGATGAAGGTACTTACAATAAGCATTGCATCGAGCTTGCGCAAGGCAGGAACGTTCATGTGCAGATCATTTCTTTGCCGGGTCACCATTATCTATCATGTCAAAAAGAATTTAGAACCCTACAAGTTTGGAATTTTGAGCTATGTGAAAATATATGGCATTGGACAATCTGACAAGGGGAGAGAAAGAGAGAGAGAGAGAGAGAGAGAGAGAGATAAAACCTCCATGTTTGTTCCATTCTGTTGCGAAGGGACGAATTCAACAATGTGATCTGTCACAGACAAAAGCCAACCTATTTCTTTCACCCACCGTGCTTTCGCTTCCGAAGACATAGGCTCCAGTTTCCTTTGTTCTCCGAAAACAGATGCTGTGTTGTCATAGGAACAAAGGAGAAAGCAAAGAACCCTATCAGAATTACCCTCGTTTGGATTTGGTATTTTAACTTGCAAATATATTAATGCAGTTGCCGTAAGGCATAAATTTGTACCTGCTAGGTTGGTTATGGCATTTGATAAAGCCAACGCCGAAGAGACGCCCTTTCCACCACCGGACATATCTTCCCCCAAAAGTAGCTTAGAGAACCTTTCCTTCATCATTTCCATATCTAAACACAAAATATTCATACAATTTATCAAAATTGATCTTTCATCTAGCTACCATTGTGACAACTGATAAGAAATATATACAGCATGTAAAAATTATATTTGCAACAAAATATTTACCTGAAGGCCTCTTGGATTTAGGAATTTTCACCTTTTCGCCTTCATCTGTGCCTTCATCTGCACCATTATCGCGATCAGATCCCCACGTTCCTTGTGTCTCCACCGGGCCGCTCTCTGGTGTAATCTTGGGACTCAGTAACTGAGCGGTATCGCTATCTCCCTCCCTGTCCTGCCCATTCTCAAAGATCAAATTCTGAAGGTGTCTCGGGATCTCAAACATTCGTTTCATCTGGAAGGATTTTGTCTTCTGCACTGTTTGTTGTTGGGATGTAAGAGCTCGGACCATTGTGGAACTCGAAGACCTTAATTTCGTTCGAGATTACACAATCTAAAGTTATAACAACAACCTTAAAAATCCTATGAGAATACTGGAAAGAAAAAAGGAAAAAGTAGGAAACATTTCTTCACCTTCGTCTTTCTTGGGAAACAAACAACGACAATGGATGTTGTTGTGTGGGAGAAAGGAGAGATTTTGAGGGGAGATAGGTTTCTTTTCTTCTCTCCCAACAGAGAGGGATTGAGAGATGTTAGAAATTATGAAAAGGGTATTTTGGAATTTTGCTTTTCGACTTCGAAAAGTTTGAAGAAATTGGGAAAAAGAAGCTGAGGTGATTAGTGCAGTTTTCTGTTTCTGCAGCTAAAGAACGTGGGGTGCATATGTTTTGAGAAACAAAAACAGAATGTGGGGTTGACGTAATTAAGGTGAATTAATTAAGATTAATTCAGAAAAAAGATTAATTACTGAATTTTTTTTTTTTCTGGGGCTGATTTTGTTTCTTGGATGAATGGTGGTTAATAAGTTTTCTGTTCTTTAAGTTTGTTTTTATAGAGGGATTGGTGATAATTTTGATTAACACTTTCTGTACTTTTAACCTACGCGTTTTGACGGTAAAAATGGACAACCGATGATTGTATATTACTATTTTTGCATGAAATGGTCGTCGCCAATTCTAAGCTAATTTGACTGGTTTTTGCTAATAATGTTTCGTTTACTCCTAATGATCAAGTCTTAGGCCAAAACTCTTACATGCTCTTTGGTATTTTCCGATCAACCCGTGGCGGAATGAAATGGTGTACCGTTAATGTCACGTGGTATTACTATTACTAATTTACGGATTATTAATGTGTTGGCTACAAGTTTATATTTTAGAAGATAGTATAGCCAAATAAATTAAACGCGTGTTGTAATAATGGTGAACTGATAATACGATGCGAGAATGTGACGGGTACACATTGAAAAAAATCTTGTTTGTGTCATCCCATGTGGTTTTAGAATCAAATTTTAAATTCACCAGAACTTACATATGACTATTTGGTCTAGCGACACTCGATCTTTACTTTGTTAAAGTAAATTCAAAGTTTAAAAATCACGAAAAACAAAAAGCTCAACATCACTTCGTTAAAGCATGTGACCAAGTTAATCTAGTGGCATCAAATTGCACTTTGTTGAAAGAAGTACGAGTTTAAATCTCACGAATGATTAATATTTATAAAAAAGAACCTTGGAGTTATAGTATCTTGGTTCATGTGTACACACATGATTTTTGCGTCATTTGCTTCTTGTAATCATTTGGGTCTGCAGTGCTTTGCACACAAAGATTACATGTGTGAAATTATGAAATTGTTCTTACTGTTTCTTTTTTTGGATTTAGAAATTGAAAGACGTGATGGTCACAACACAAACAACTATTTTAATTTCCAGGTCTAAACTCTAAAGCAGCTTCACCAGGAGGGCACACAAAGGAATTAAATTTTGTTTAATAATGGTGAAACTATGTTCGAGTTGCTCCACCAAATGATAAAGATTCTATATTTCATACCACCAGTGACTCCACCGTTGCAACAACAGCTGCGTTGCACAAGGCGGGGAAAGGGCCGAGTCTGATTGCCAAGCTCATGGGAATCGAAGAGTACCACTCGAGATCTTTGCAGGCTGCTCTGAAGAAACAGTCCGAGGAAGGTGAGAATACTTTTTCAAGTCAGCAGATACGAGAGTTAAAAACCCCTCAAACTTTGGCTCAAACGTTGATCATGAAAAGAGGACCTTGAGGGAAGTTCTTGAAACGATGCGATTTAAAGGACTTTTGAAAGGCAGCTCTGGGGAAGAGCATAGGCCTGATTTGTCATTCCAATCACTCCGGTTCCACGGAAAGATTTGAATCACTCCGGTTCCACTGAAAGATTCACTAATGATAGCCCTCCCATTGTGCTTGTAAGGCTCTTCCTGTTTCATCTATGGAATTGGAGGAGCCTCGTGCACAATATTAGTCCGAGGAGAGGAGGCTTTCTACACCAAAATGATGCTAAAAAGTTTGGAAGCACAAGAAGGAGGTTTGTAGTCTGCAAAAATGCACCGAAAAATGAAGCAGAAGAGACTCCAAGCAAAAGGCTTGACCATGAAGAACAAGCTAAAACTGGAAAGTGGCTGCAAAGAAACCTGAAGAAAGAGAGGCCAAGACGAAATAAAAGGCTTCAAGAAAGTTGAAAGCTTCTCATCCTGCAGATCTCTAACCACATAGAAAGGTGGCAATTGACAAGAAAGTTGATAAAATCCACAAGGTGACTTCGGTTGTAGGAACTCACCAGAGAAACATCGCAAAGAATTTAATGTCTCGGCAACCAAGTACTGCGACAATGGCAAATCTCGAAACCCTCATCTCAGAATGTAGCATGTAACTCAACTGAGCGGAAAAGAAATCACTTAATGCAAGAGATCCAGCCTAAGAGCCTATGAAACTAAATCAATTGTATGTCTTCCTTGTCTCAAAATCCTTTTTAGAAAATTTCTGCTTTCTTTTTTCGCCATACAAAATGTAACTTTTAGAAGCTAATGTTTGTTTTATGCAGAACAGAAATGTTGTGAGTGAAGAAAGTGAGAAGAGTGATGCTTCCCCAATCAAAGCTGGTCTTGCAGACCAAAACCCTAAGGAAGAAGAAACAGATGCCTATGTATCTCAGAGTGGAGGTATGACCTTCTTGAATTACTAAGTAACTTGATTATGTAATGGCCACCGTTGACTTTAAGTATGGTTGTAAAATGAGAACGTTCATTGACAAGGAAACGTTGCGTGTTACCACATCTGTTTTCTTGCTCATTAGCGCTTTTAATAAGGACGTGAATTGACAAGAAAACAAGAGGGTAACATCTATTATTCATAAGCACAACTAGCTAAAGAAATGCTTAAATTACAATATCATGAAGTGTGACGTTTTTCTGACAACTCCAAATGTCTAGATGAACACATTAGCTGGGTAATCCTGAAACCTCAATGCGGTCAGGAAGAAGACAGTTTAGTCATCAGTGCCGGAATATAATCCAGTTTATAATTGTTGCCCTAGTACCCGCATGTGATTTCGACCGTTTGGGGGCCCTGTATTATCCAGTTTAGTTTTATGTTGATAAATGTTGATTTTAGGTTAGCTCTATGTTCATAAATGTTGATATTAGTTAACCTGTTTCCTTTTTTAATCACAGGACATTGCAGTAATTTCAAAAGTTCTGTATGTGATGCCACACCACTAAGCCCTAAACAAGAAATAGAAACCAAAATTGCAGAAGAAGCTTCAGAACACGGGTCGGAGAGCAGATGATGGCAAAATGTTCGAGAGTGGAGAAAATTTCAGAGATTTGCTATTAAGAAATTCATCAATTCTTAGTCTTGCGCAGGAGATTTTTTATCTTAACATGAACTGCCCTACAAATTTAAAGACATCTTCCATCTACAATTTTGGATAATCCGACAGAAGACTATTTATAGATTGCACTGGATATAACAACTTTTTCATGAAACTCAATATGAATTTCACAATAAGTTTTATGTGTCTCTCGTGTGCCCCTTTCTTAAGAGATTCGGGCAAAACTGGTGCATAGATAAAGGTCACGTTTTGAGTTAACTGAACATCTTTTGTTTGTCCTACTTTTTGTTTGGCAGCTCCATTTGGAAGGTAAAGCTACTATACGTAATGAAACAGTATGTGAGTCCTAAAGTGCGACTGTATTAGGAGGTGTTGTTCAATCACTCATGGGCAAGATGCAATCATTGGAGGTGACTGTTAGGGAGTGATTGCGCAGCATGCATAACTCACGGGCGAGATGCAATCATTGGCTGATTACTCTGACGTTAGCTCTAAGAGTAATGGGCCTATTGCCAGAAATACCGAGGATGGACCAGTTGGAAGGCAGCAAAACCTTCAATTGATAGCAAATGACGAGGATAAATCTTATCAAAAAAGTGAGGCAGACAACACTTGTAAGGCAAATTCCCTTGATGAAAGAACTCAAGACAAACCTAGTAGCTCTGCAACAAATACAAGGGCAAAAGAAGGTGGATTTTCATTCATGTCCAGCTTGCAGGTCGTTATTAAATTTTACCATTATCCTGCTGCATCCAGGTTTTTTGTAATATTAAGTTTACTTTTATGTTAAGTAGTTGTGAGGAAGGGGTCAAGAGGAGACCGATGTTTTTACACCTGGATTTGTTCACTGATTATTTCTAGTGGTGCATATATATATTGTAGATGGGGCAGGTGTAAGGTTGCATAATTAAACTTGAATCAAACAAGTTCATCGACTGCAAAGGTAGTAAAGAAAAGGTAATAAATCTTCTACGAAAATGTAGAGTCAATCTTTGGGTAATATGTCAGGGCAAGTCAAGATTAATGTCTTCTACGAAAAGGTAGTAGAAACTATATATTGACTGGCATCTTGAGGCTATCATTATTTTCTAACCTTAAAAGTAAATTCCTGGAATATGTGGTGGAAGCAGGGCAGGTATTTGTGCGAATTCGAGTAGTATTTGTCAAATATTTGGATGAATGTCTTATATGGCTTGTTGTAATGTTGAAATGTTTCTATATGCAATATATCTTCAAAATTTTGAATAACTAATTGAAAAAATCATATGAATCTGAAGTAAGTATGAAATATGTACTTGCCTTCATTATCGAACAGAGAAAGCGAAAAACAAAAGAGGCATTTGATGAACTGACTGTGATCTGGCTTAGATACGTGATGATGAGCGTGATGATGACGATGCTTCACCACCTTGATTGTGCCTCATAACAGAACCAAGCTGGATGCTGGTAAAAGCATAACCAGCTTTGTCCAAATCATGCATGTTTTCCTTCATAGGTTTGTCCCATACTAAATTAACCCCTATTCTATTCACTCTTGCATTAAAAAAATCTACACCAACTTCAACTCTATCCCCGCCTTGCAAATTGAGCTTATCGTTCGATAATTGTCCCTGCCAAATATGATGGGATTCAGGTTTGTAGGATATTCTATTCCGATCTTCTTTGACCATGTAGGCTTGCAACTGAATACACTTAGTATTCTTTATAACAGTAATGACAAGACGCACAGGATCACCAGTTTTTTTGCGTGAGCTATATGAGCAGAACATAGTCAACCCTTCAAAATTACAACCATCACTTAGGGGAATATCAAAACTGATTTTAGTGCCCTCGCTGACAAACTCAAGCCAATCAAGAACATAATTCCCATGGAGGAAAATGCCACCAAATCCACAAGAAGTCCATCCCTACGTAAACAATACAATTATACTAGTGTGATATATATACACATGTACATGTGCGTTTGTGTGTGCATGTGCACGATAGGAAGGCAATGAGAGAGAGAGAGAGAGAGAGAGAGAGAGAGAGATACCTGTAGGATGTTCTTCCTAAAATCAGCTGTGAGATTGGGGCAGCCTATCTGTTACACCCGCCCCTGCTTATAAGGATAATTCTGTAATTCTCCCTAAGAATTTATGGAATTATCACTTTGACCCTCTTTTTTTTTTGTCACAAAATCAAGATCTGAAATTTAAATTATTACCCTATTACCTAGACTGCCACGTGGCAGCACCCCAAGTCCCTTACTTTTTCTCTTTTGTCCCCCCCCTCCCGTGACACTTTTTCTTCTCCTCCTTTTTCTTTTTCTTTTCCTTTCTTTTCTTTTCTTTTGGTTTGTCTGCACTTTTCTTTCTCTCTCTCTCAAAAACTCTCTCTTTCTTCTTCCTCTTCTACCCGTGAAAGACACACACACACACACACCCATTGTTGCACTTGCTTGAGGACACAACCACCATCATCATCATCAAACCTTAGCTCTCTCTCTCTCTCCCTTGCTCACGGCGCCAAGAGGGTAAGCACCTCCGGCGAATTTAGCTTGTTTTTCCGGTTGGGTAAGCATGGTTTCTCCCTTCTTAGTCTTGTTAGAGGTTGGTTAAATGTAGTTATTGAGTTTGGGTTCTTGATTTTCAAGGTTTTGGAGTGTTTTGGCAAGGGTGGAGGTACACCCAATTTTCCGGCGAATGTGTGGTTTCCGAGGGATTTTCCGGCCACCACAAGCCGTTACACGGTGAACCCAAGGTATAAACTTACTCCTCTCCTCTAGTGCTTCATTTTGGTACCTAGATCGGGGTCTAGTTCGAGTGTTTGAAGTTGGCCGGAGCTTGGAAGCTCCGGTGGTCTTCTCCGGCGCACCCAGGCCTTCGGGCCATGTCTGTTTCCCCACGGGCCTTAGGCCATTTCGGGTTTTAGCCCAAAAGCCCAACCCTTTCAGTTTTTATTTTTAGTTATTTCTTTTAAAAACCCAAAAGGCCTTAGGGCCTTGGTTGCAGCCCAAACCCATCACCCTTTTCTGTTGTGGGCCTTTGGGCCGTAGGGATTCAAGCCTAACCCAAACCCACTTAAAAACCCAAACCCATTTCTGTTAGCCCAAAACCCTAACCCAAAAGTCTAAACCCAAAACCCTAACCCAAAACCCATGACCCGTGACCTTGACCCGTGACCCTGACCCTGACCCGTTGACCCGTGACCGTTGACCCGTTGACCGCGACCCGTTGACCGTTGACCCGGTCAACGGTCAGCGTTGACCTTGACTTTGACCGGTCAACGGTCAACGTTGACTTTGACCGTTGACTTTTTGGGTTTTCGTGCGGGACCCATCCTAGGCTAATTTCGACGTTCTGAACCCGTTTCCGATGTCCGTTTTCCCAAATTCAATCGTTTGAGTGGAGTTTGACTGAAAGTAACAATTGTGTGTTTAGGTGCGATTCTTAGCGGAGATTTCGTTACTCCTGTTTGGTACAGCTTGCACCCTCGGTGTACGGTGAGTGGACCCCTTCTCAAAATACATGTTTTAATGGTAGAATTGCATACACAGAAAAGCATGACTTTACGATTATGTTTTATGAAACGTTTTGAGATAATATGCTTACTAAGGCTAGTTTGAATTATTACTATTTTTCCTATAACCCATGTTCTTATAGAATATCTGATGGATGACGATATGATATTTAGAACATGTTTAGAACACTTCTTTATAGTATAGATGATGGATGACTTTATACTATGAAGTTGATTTTCAAGATATGTATGTTCACTGATTTTATGCCTACCTAGTGGTCCTTTCCGCTACGGGACGTAGGGATAGATCCGGTCCGTCCCGGGCGACGGTTTGGTGTTGGCATAGGGCCTGGAGTGTGTTTTCCTCTGACTGTCTGCTCAGAGACGGGGAGCCGGCATGGGGCCTGAAGTGTATTTTCCTCTGACTGTGTGCTCAGAGACGGGGAGCCGGCATGGGGCCTGAAGTGTTATATCGGACATTCACTAGTGTTTATTATTTATGCGATTTATGATTTGAGACATTGCGCGTCATGCTAGATTTCGGAAAACCTATATTTATCATTATATTTATGTTTTCATAAAACCTGGGGGTTAGTATGTTGATAACTGTATTACTATTACTGTATATATAAACTTGGTCCACTCACCTTTGTTTTGCGCCCCCTTCAGGACCTTGGAACGAGGATTACGATCTAAGCTACGAGGCGTTCCCCTACCAGTGATTTGTATCTTATTCACTCCGCTTCGCCACGTATTGTAATAGCACTTCTTTATTCTGAGTTCTGCTTGTACTCTGTATTAGAATTATGCTCTGGGCGTGCTGTGGGTTTACCTAATTTCATTACTTAGAGGTTGAACTTTTATTTGGGTTTTTAGTCTTTATTGCGTACTTTAGTTTATTTTCTCAGTTTTTGTTTTAATTAAATGGTTTCGTCACCCTTCGGGTGTCGGCCAGCACGTGACCATCTCGATGTCTCTAGGACCTCGGGGTCGGGGCGTGTCAGATTGGTATCAGAGCCAGGTTAGTTCAGAGCATACTTAGGATTTCATTCCACCATTTGGTAGTCATATTTCTCATTACATTCTTGATCTCCAGTTATTCTAAACCTTTCTTGCCTCTTTTCAGAATTATGGATCCCACTGGTGGGAATGTGCCTCGTCGAACTCGTTCTGGTTTAGGGGGAGGAATTCAGCAGTTAACTAATGCTATACGGAATGCTTTCACTAATCGACCGAGTCGCACGTATATTGAGATTGCTCGAAGCCATGGTATTCCAGATCTTAATGTAGTTGGGGCTTGTCCGGAGGCCGAGGAGTGGCTTGAGCAGGTGGAGGACACTTTGGAGAGCATGAGATGCCCGCAAAATGAGTGGGTGGACACTGCAACGTATTTTATGAAAGGGGACGCTAAACTTTGGTGGAAATCGGTGAGGCCTCGTCCACCTAATAATCCAATGAATTGGGTTGACTTCAGGAAGGCTTTCAGCGCTTATTTCTTGAGTCCCAGTTATCAGCTTAGGATGAGGCAACAATTCTTGGAGTTTCGCCAGGGCGATTTGAGTATCACGGAGGTAGACTGTACTTTTCGGCGTTTGGCGAGACATCACTCAGGGACTTATGGAAACCCAGGTGAAATGATGGTCCAGTTACTGATTTGCTTAAATCCTGATTATCGTGAAGCAGTGGCAGCAATAAGGCACAACAGTTACGAGGAGATGATTGAGACTTGCTTAAGGATTGAACAGTCTAGGTGGGAGACTGAGCATCAGGCACAGGCACAGGCGCAGGCGCAGTTACAGTTTCAGGGACCACCAAGGTATCAAGACCGACCTCGGTACCAGAACCAGAGGGGTCGTGGATTTCGATCTCGGAGCGTGAGAGAAGCTGCTAGTTCGTCTAATTATGCTGGCCCTCGACATTCTTTTTCCTTTAAACGTCAAGGCCAGGGTTCAGGTTCTTCTAGCGAGGGTTCAGGCAATGAATCTGGGAGACGATCCTTCAGTCACTTCAGATCCCCCATCACGTGCCACAGGTGTGGAGGCACGGGACATATTGCCAGATATTGCCCATCTGAGAGACCCGCCGAGAGTTATGCTTCTGCGCCGAGTTACAGTGGAGGGAGTAACCCGAGCTCCAGTTATGGCGGCAATTTTACTCGAAGTGACAGTGGGAGTGGAAGCCAAAATTCTCAATTTTCCACTCAGAGGCAGCCACAGCAGTTTGGTACAGCATCAGGTAGCCGCCCTCCAGGAAATCGAGCAGGCCGTAACAACCGAGGTTTTAGGGCTCGAGGTGGCCGTGACGGTGGTACAGGACCCCAGTTTCATAGACGTATCAACGCCATGACTCAGCAGGAGGCTGATCAGGATCCTCAAGTTATTACTGGTACGTTACTTATTTGTGGTAATTGGGCGAGAGTTCTAATCGATCCAGGTGCTACTTTTTCATTTGTGTCTTCCTCATTTGCACCGAATCTAAATTCGCAACCTACACCGCTTGGGTATGATATGCTTGTACAACTGCCGCATGGAGAGTTGTTTTGTGCACAGTGGGAGTTTAGAAGTTGCCCGGTAGTGGTGGAAGGGGAAACAATGGAGGCTAACCTGGTTCCCTTCAATTTGGTGGAGTTCGATGTTATCTTGGGAATGGATTGGCTCTCCAGGCATCGTGCTTATGTCGCGTGTTGGGAGAAATCTGTGACGTTCAATCGGCCTGGACGACCGTCGATCACATTTCAGGGTGAGCGACGAATCCTTCCTAATAGTATTATTTCTGCTATCCGCGCTTCTAAGTTGTTGTCTAAGGGATGTGTAGGGTTTTTAGCCCACGTAGTGACGAGGGATAAACCTTCGTTGAGT